AAGACGCATAACCTCAACCGTCTTGAGGCTCAGCGTAACGAGCTCAATTCCAGGGGTTCGCTAACCCTAACCCTAGCTCTCCTTTTTTTTTTTTCTTCCACTTTTCTTCTTCAGTTCAATTCAATTCAATTCACCCTTCTTTTTCTCTTCAATTTCCACAGTGAGGATGCTACGCGAAGAATTGCAGCTTCTTCAGGAGCCAGGCTCCTATGTCGGTGAAGTTGTCAAAGTGATGGGCAAGAATAAAGTCCTTGTCAAGGTCACTTCATCCTCCTTTTTCTATGATCTTACATTTCGTGCCCTTATTATTTATTTCCTTTCATGTCTCTTTTTCTTTCGTTTTGCTCCTCATTCTTAAACACCGATGATTGGTAGTGTTTGTTTATTTGTGGAATTAATAAAACTGGATCTAAACCAAGATGAAGTGCTGATTTTTCCTGTACTTATCGTCAGGTCCACCCAGAAGGAAAATATGTTGTCGATATTGACAAAAATATTGACATTACTAAGATCACTCCATCGACTAGAGTTGCACTTCGCAATGATAGCTATGTTCTTCATTTAATTCTGCCAAGTAAAGTTGATCCGTTGGTCAATCTGATGAAGGTGGAGAAAGTTCCTGATTCTACATATGACATGATTGGTGGTTTAGACCAGCAAATCAAAGAAATCAAAGAGGTCCAGTTTTTTAGCACTCTTTCAGTATTATTAGCATTTAATGTTCATTATCTCTCAGGAGTGGGACTTGATATTTCTACCAATCCATCTGTGTCTGTCAATGTATCACTCCTCTCTGTTACGTTCTGTATGCACATATTTATCTATATATACGTATATTATGCATTATAAATATTAGTATTATTTTTGGGCCTCATATGTGGTTAAATGCCAGGTCATTGAGTTACCAATTAAGCACCCTGAGCTTTTTGAGAGTCTCGGAATTGCACAACCAAAGGTAGTCTCTCATTTGTGGTTGTTGCTAAATCATGTCTTTCAATCTGCAAACTTTTGATGTTGATTTTCTATTTGCTGAATCTCTTGAACACATCACAGGGTGTCCTGCTGTATGGGCCACCTGGTACAGGAAAAACATTGTTGGCTAGGGCAGTGGCTCATCATACTGACTGTACATTCATAAGGGTGTCTGGATCTGAATTGGTTCAGAAATATATTGGAGAAGGTTCTAGAATGGTCAGGGAACTTTTTGTTATGGCCAGGTTTGTACTCTTTATTTAGGTTCCTCTGTTCATTATTTTCTGTTTACACCAAAGGGGATAAAAACAAGAAAAATGCACAATAAACTCTCCAATTGGTTGAAAACCCCAAAAAATATTTGGGTTTCCCATTTGACAAACATCTCTTGATTTTGTAGCTTTCAACAAATTCTAAATAATGGGACAGTGTGCGTTTGAGAGGGTGTTTCTAGCATTTCTCAAAATATGTCTTCTTGGCTTTATGTCTTTTCGAGTTGGTGATAGTTTTAAAGGGGATAAATTAACTCAACTCGGGCCTAAGATTGATTTTTAGTTGCTTAGATTTTGACTGTCAAGTTTTGTCTCGTATGCATACAATGCATCAGGAGTTGATGGAATTTGGTGTGAATATTATATCTGTTTGCAATTTCCAGAAGTGCACTTGTAAAGGGAAGGATGGGCATTTTTCTTCTCCTTAAGAAGTTATGCTTAACATTTTTCTTCTACACTTGCCTTATTGTTATTAACATAAATATCATCATGCCACACTTGTCTTCATGACAGGGAACATGCTCCATCAATTATCTTCATGGATGAAATTGACAGCATTGGATCTGCTCGGATGGAATCTGGAAGTGGCAATGGTGACAGTGAGGTACAGCGTACTATGCTGGAACTTCTCAACCAGTTGGATGGATTTGAAGCCTCAAATAAGATCAAGGTAAAAGGAGCTATGCACTGATATATTGTACTATTAAGGGAAAATGGGGAATTTAAAGCTAGTCCGATGTCCACTGTTGTAAATAGAAACCTGAAACAGTTGATCATAACAAATATTATTTACTCTATTTGAATAATTTTTCACAATTCTTTGTAGGTTCTGATGGCCACCAATAGGATTGATATCTTGGATCAAGCCCTCCTTAGACCTGGACGGATTGATAGGAAGATTGAATTTCCTAACCCTAATGAAGAGGTTTACTTTTTTGCCTTCATGTTACTTGATAATATATTTGTCATGAGAGAGAAGATGCACCTGGTGCATTCGTAACAAATATTCCTGAAAATAACTGAATTTGTTTATGCAGTCTCGGCAAGATATTTTGAAAATCCATTCAAGAAGAATGAATTTAATGCGTGGCATTGATTTGAAAAAGATTGCTGAGAAGATGAATGGAGCATCTGGTGCTGAACTTAAGGTATTTTTCTTCATTTGCATCATATGTTTGATTTTATATCTGCTATAAAATCGAATGAAAAACTGTCCTTGTTACTCAAATTGTGTCTCTTATACAGGCTGTCTGCACTGAAGCCGGTATGTTTGCTCTGAGGGAGAGGAGGGTACACGTGACTCAAGAGGACTTTGAGATGGCTGTGGCCAAGGTGATGAAAAAGGAGACGGAAAAAAATATGTCATTGCGGAAGTTGTGGAAGTGATCCTGGTGCACATTGTCTTGTGAAGACGGGCACTAAACTCACTTTAGGATTTCAATTTGACAATGGTATTGATTTTCCTTTTAAGGTTTACCATGTTATGTACCAAGGCAGATTCTTTTCAATTGAGTTTCTTCCTTCTCTGTGTTTTCGAACTGCACACTACATTTGTAGATTATTTTTAAAAGACCACCTTACAATCTAACTTTTTTTCATTCTCGGAACAATTTCATGTTTGAATATAGTAACAATTATAATGGTGTGTATCTTTTCATCTTTGAATATAGTTCTAAGAGTTATTTCTTCTTTTTCATATACCCTGTCATATCTATATCAATTTATTCTAAAATAGTTCAAAAGAGTTATTTCTTCTTTTCCTATATCCTGTCATGTCTATATCAATTTATTCTAAATTCTAAATTTTATGAAGTATCGAATAATGGGAGGATGTTCGGCATAGGTGAAAAGAAAACAAGGCTTGTTTTCTGAAAATTATCTATCTATAAGAAAGAAAGCCATAGCATTAACAACGGAAGTAGGTAAGGTAACAACGGAAGTAGATAAGGTGACACGGAAAAGACTTAGCCTATGTTTGGTGTGGTTTGTTCATTAAAAATGTCATTTAAAATTATTTGAAGGTTTTTTTAAACTTCAAAAATTTTCTATTTGGCTTTTAAATAAGTCTGTCAAGCCTAATATATTGATATATTTAAATAATAAATTCTATAATAAAAATAATTTTTTGTTAGACCCACTAATCACAGGCTTTCACCTGTATCCCACCCCACATGCTAACTCTACACTTTGAATTTGTTTTCCGTTCTTAATAAACACTATTTTGATAATTTTTTTTCACGTCTCATTCTTGGATTCAGAGTCACATTTGCGTATGTTCATTTAATATTTATAATTTATTAAGTTTTTTTTCTGTATTTTCATTTTCTTTTTGTATTTTCATAATTTTTTTCTATGAAATTGTTTTCAACATTTGACAACACAAAATTTTTCTGACCTTGTATTGTTATTTTTCTCTCTTTCAACAATTTATCAAGTTTTCTTTATTTTCTTTCTCTTTTATTTCTCCCTTTTTAATTGTTTTCTTTTAGATAATCTAAAAGTAAAAAAATTGTTTCAAAATAATTTAAATTCTGAATAATAATATAATTTAGTTTATATGAAATTCATATTTAAATATATTTAAATATATATATATATATATATATATATATATATATATATATGTGTGTGTGTGTGTGTACATATATATTTAAATTATTTTAGAATAAAATAAATATTTTTAAGATTGTAAATAATTTGGTTATTTAAAAATATTGAAATTATATATGTTTATCATAAAAAGTATTCTCTAATTAATTAAAAAAAATTATATTATTTATTTTATTCTAAAATAATTTATAGTATATTTAAGGATTTATTTTATTTAAAATATGCATTTTAATGTAGATTAAATTATATTATTATTTTTAATAAATCCTTTCTATATATTTTAAAGCATGATATTTAAAAAACTTTAATTAGTTTTTTATATTTGTGTTATTTGTAAGAAACAAAAAAGGGAAAGAAATAAAAGAAAAAAGAATGAACATGTGAGGAAAGAAAACGTACTGAGTCAACGTTGAATAAATATGACACCGTATATAATGTGCTCGTATTAAAATTACCTCAAAATCATAAAATTAGTAAACCAGTAAATAATATTCAATTACCATCTAATTATTAATCTAATAACAATTATATAATATATAAAATATTTTTTTATTAATTTAATAATTGGTCTAATCGTTAAACATTTACAATTATACAAATATTATTTTTACAACTATTTATTTCATATTAAAATGAAATTTAAGGTATTTGTTTCTTGTTATGCATCATTTTAGAATGATAACATAAAAATAATTATTAGTTTCTCAATTATACCGTTATACAAAAATTTAAATACTAATAATATATAATAAATGAAAAATAAATATTGTAATAAAACATGTAAAAAAACAGAGGGGTTAATTTAATTTTGCGAGAAAAAGAGAGAGAGAGAGAGAGAGAGAGAGAGAGAGAGAAGGAAGATTTAATTTGTTGCTTGTATTGCATTATCCATTTTATCTCTCGTTTGCCTCGGAGGTGCATGAACGAGAAAGGATGAGAGTTTAAGGTCTGGAGAGTGGGGTGTGTGTGGAAGGCGAGGCGAAGTAACCAGTCACTGAGCAATATCCATACAATTAACAAAAGCAAGGTAATGAAATTGATTATTGTTTTCACTTGTTTCAATCGTTCATTCATTAGGCTCTGGATTCACGTATTACTCTGTTGTGTTGTGTGAAACATGATGTAGATTGATTTGTTTGTGCGGCAATGGACTTGGGTTTCCACTCACCCTTGCACCCACCATCTCTGTCTTCTACTACCATAACAAGAAGGCCCAATTTCAATTCCCGGCTTTTCATTTTGAACAGGCCTTTCACTCTCAGGAACTTATCCTTGCCTTCTGCTCTGGTTCGTGTTACTTACTTTGCTTTCTATTCCCTTTCTACCGGTTAAGTTTACCATGGCGTGACATTACCAACCACATTTTTTTCTTTGGATTTAATTTAAGGCATATGATTCTGAATTAGAGAGCAAAAAGCATCTACTGCTGACCTCTGTCCAAGACACACAAAGGGGTCTCTTAACAACTCCTGATCAACGCTCTTCTATTGAGGAGGCTTTGGTGAATGTGGAAGGCCGAAATATGGGTCAACCAATCAATCTGGCCAAGTTGGATGGGACATGGCGCCTCCAGTACACTTCTGCCCCTGATGTTCTCATTCTTCTACAAGCTGCTGCTACACTTCCCTTCTTTCAAGTATATACCAATCCACTTTCAATTTCACTTTCATAAATCTATTATCTATGCTTTCTTCTTTCTAGTTATTTTTACACTCACCATTCTGTAATCAAGACAAGGTTTAGAGGTACAAATGAATCTCTTACACCCTGCTTACCTTACCGTTTTATTGCTTCATTTGCTTTCATGTTGTGAAAGGTTGGACAGATCTTTCAAAAATTTGAATGTCGTGATCAATCTAATGGAGGTGTTATCCGTAATGTTGTTCGATGGAGTATTCCAAATTTGTTAGAGGTAAAACAAAAGCTTCTTTTACTTACTCCGTCCTGCTTTCTGCTTAGGAGGCTGCAACTTCATAATACATGACAAAGTCCTAAAATTCAGAGTTCAGACACTACATTGTAACTTTTGTTTGTACTAACATCATACCTCACTGGTGAATTATTTACTTCCTTTCTATTTCTGTAATATATGAGTTGTACTCCACTGTTTAACCTTTATCGCAATAGGCCCAATGGGTAAGTTCAAACTTACGATTTGCTTGGAAACTCTATATTCTACAGTGTTTGTTTTAAAGGATTTGTTCAAATGTAAAGCTCTTGCTAACATCTAGTCCAACCTTAATTGGTTGGAAAAATGAAATTAGAGGAAATGCTTAAGCTTGAGCTTTGATGCACTCTCCATGGACCCAAAAGTAAAATATTCTTGGCCTTCTTCGTACAGGAAGAGGAAGGTGCTACGCTGCTTGTATCCGCCAAGTTTAATGTTGTTTCTGTGCGTAATATATACCTTCAGTTTCAAGAGGTAATCATTTTCACTTTCTTGAGCATCCTTTCTACTACAATTGTGTCTACCTAAAAGGATGCCGGGTTCGTTAAGATATCTGTCATATATAATTTCTCTTCGTAACAAGTGGTTTGAAACTCCATAGTTTAGAATGATCATCCACATTTAATTTCATTTTTGGTGTTCATTGTAGGTTGTAAAATTTTTTCCATGCCCTATTTCTGAATTTTATTATGTGGTTTATGCGTTAGTATTTGTGATAAGATATCAATGTAAATGATAGGCTACGTCTGCACTAGGATAAAAATATCCACCCACTATTGGTATTTGGGTATGAATATAATATTTTTTTTTTCTTTAGTTGGTATGATGCTGTTATAACTTTAGATGAAACAAGCAATTTATACCTGGCAGATCACAGTGCAAGATATAAATATTAGTGAAGAGCTGCAGGCTCTATTAGCTCCAGCAATACTACCACGATCGTTTTTAAGTCTTCAGGTCAGTCAACCTTAATTTATGATAGCGTATTTGGAAGTTAATATGATTGCACGCTATTACTGACATTGGATATGAGATATCATTGACATCGGTAACTTATGTCACGAAGCTGTTTTGCTCCAATTTTTGGTGGCATACTATATGTGAAGGATCTAATATGATTGTCATCTGCATTAGAACTAGTGCATAAGTCAAAATTGTTAGCTGACGTATTTTGTTTATATAGTGAGACAGACACTTGGTTTATATGTTACATATAATTGTGCTTTTCTGATTCAGATTTTGCAATTTCTCCGCACTTTCAAAGCTCAAATCCCTGTGAGAGATCCAGGAAGGTATGTCATGGGCTACTTTGTTGAAATAGATAATGTGTGTTTTGGACAAAAACATATATAATGATTCTTTTTAATTGTAGGGAATCGGTAGGAGGACTATATTACCTTAGTTATTTGGATGATAATATGCTTTTGGGTCGGGCTGTTGGTGGAGGAGGGGTGTTTGTTTTCACAAGAGCCCAATCTCTCTACTGATGAGCACTGAGCAGTTCTTAAAACTTGTACCGTTTGCCAGCTCTAACACTCATTGAACTTTTGTTTATGGAGGAAACCTATGGAGAAAGCGAGAAATTGATCAGAGGCATATAGAATAGAAGGAGTTCTGAAGAAGGCTATTATATGCAGTTGTTATGTTGACTTTATTTGAACTGCCTTTTTGTTTCTATTGATTTCTTTATATATTGGCAAAGCAAGAAGATGGTGAGTGATCATTGTAGAATTGGAGATGTTAATATGAGTGATACAACTTCTGGGAAGAGGATAAGGAGCCCAATCCTGCTATGTACAGTGCAGGTGTCTTGTAACTATTTTACGTTGCATAAGATGTATAGTATTATGTCCTGTTAGTTTTATCTGTTATAATCATATCAGGTTATTTTTAATTTCTCGATAGTAATATCTGTAGATCATGGCTGGTATGTTACGGGAACCAGGAAATTAATAAAACTTTCTTCAGTTGTTGGTACTATTGAGTGTGTATCAATCAGATCCGTAGCCTATAGTTTTTCAAATTCAAGTTACGCATTTGAGTAAGTCAATGAAAGCGTTATTTGAACAAAATGGTAAACAGAACTTAAGACGGAAAATTGGTTTCATCAACATGGGCCCAAGATTACCTCTCCTAAATTTTACCCTTGGAGGATAGGATTAAGCCTGCAGACACCCAACGGAAATTAGGAGGAGGATCGATTATAGATTTAAAGTTTTTAAAAGCTGAAAATGATCCCGTAAATTATAAATTATAGCGAAGGATGGCGATGGGAATAGGGAATAGGGATAAGGACGAGGGAGATGGGCACAAATATGGGAACCCCATTCACTGGAATTTGTGGACCATTAAATAATAGAACAACACTGTTTGTTTTATCAATTTCCTTAGGGAATTGAGCTGGAGTGGTTTCATTGGTTAAGAAATAAATATAAGTAGAGAAATGAGGGATACAGTAATAGCGGTGGGGCTAAAATAATAGGGTGATTAGGTGAAGAAATAGAAATAGGAAAGAGTTAGATGGCTGAAGAATAATTAATTATTTGGATATGTGTTTATAAGGGAAGGAAGCAATGGATGAGTGTGTTGATGGAAGAAGGGGATGGGGGAATGGTGGAGAATAAGAGGGATGAAGAAGAGGGTGGGATTGGGAAGGTTCCTGATGATGTGTTGATAGAGATATTGGTGAGAGGAGGAATAAGAGAGTGGGAGGAGATAGCATGCGTGAATAAGCATTGGGCCTCTCTTCTCAGCTCCCACTGTGAATGCTTCTGGGAAGCTGCTCTTTCATACCATTATCCACTCTTCCCACTCTCTTCCCTCCCTCTCCCTCTCCCATGGCCTGGCCCTATTCCTTTACCCAACAACTCCAAGACCAGATTCACCGCCTTATACATCTCTCAACGCATCTTTGCTTCGCATCCTCAGAACTTACAACTTGACCACTTTCACGAGATTATCGGCCACACTTATCTCTTCTTGAAACACCAACTTCAACTTTCCATTATGCCACCACATAGTGGAATACTTCATGGAACTATCATTGGTATGTACTAATCCCACTTCACTCTTCTTCATGCTTGCTTTGCTCTTCTACCTTTTCGTCACATCTCAACTCTTCTTTTTATCAGATCAGTTCATTGCTTGTGGCAAGTCCAGAGACGTCGCCCACGAACTTACTTCTCGGATATGGCTTGCTTTTCTCCACAATTTGGACGACAACCTCCACACATTTTCCTTGCTTAAACGCCTTGCGTATGAAGGGGATGTAAGTCTCTGTCTTTCTTTCTGTTATTGTTCCGATAAGTAACAAAAACATCAACACTGATTGGCCCAAGATGCAACCAAACAATTCATACTCTTGTCTTCTTTTCTCTCAAACCTAATTTGTTTTCTTTATCAACTGCATACTAATTTTAATTAACTATTCTTGTTCAGTTTCTCAACAAATTTTGTCTGCAACACACGTTTATACTTCTGCACTTTTCCACATCTGTTGGCTGCTATTATTGTTCACCTCTCAAACATATCTAGATTACCCATTTGAACTTTTCCATCTTATGCTTATACCATTCAATTGTATAGTGTGATTCTTCTACATGTCATCATTGGAATTGCAATCAGAGATAGCAATATCAAATGTATATATTTTCTTGCTAGCTATTTGTTAGGTAATTCACCAATCATTATGGTTGTTATTTTGAGTTGTTATTTTGAGCAGGTGTTTCTTCCATACCCTTACACCAGATCAGTGGAAGTACAGTGGAGGGTGTTTGAGAAGCTTTTTACTGATTTTCGTGATTGCTTCAACCGTGCAGAATATTATGATATGTTGGCATGTGCCAGAAGCAGGTTTCAGCCTATACCGTCTGCTTGGTTAGGTTACTAACAAACACCAATCAACCTAACCTTTCTACTTACGAAATGAAGCTTTTGTTTTTTTCTCTTAGGAAAAAAAGATCTATACCTTCATTCATGTGTATCACTGGAATGAACTAGCTCTGAAATCCCAATGGACAAGATCAAAATCATTTGCTCCTTTTTTGTTGATGCGTCTGAATTCGATTTTAACACGCTATTGGAGTAAACAAATTTTTTAATATTTAATTATCCATTGCCTCATTATTTAAGGAAATTTATATAGGATAAAATATGTTTTCTGTCCTCTAAAATATGATAATTCATTAATAAAAAAAATATCTTTTTAAATGCAATAATTTTGGTCACGTTATTAAAGTATTTTGACGCGTGGCAGTGTGGCACCACTTGTTCTCAAAATAAATCATCCGTGGGTAATATGTGTAAACACTTGACCCATATGCAATTTAAGCCTGTGTTTCAAAAAGATCAACAAAGCATTCAACTTTACTTAATGTGTTTAAAAGACCCATGTTCAACAAAAAAATTAATAAATATATTGCCAGCATCGTTTTGGGAAAGGAAAGAAAATAAAAGAAAAACGGTGAAAAATAAAATAGAGAAAAGATGGTTGATATAATCTTATTGAAAAGAAAGGGAAATGTTAACATTTCTTTGCCTTTTGGAGTTTGTTAAGATGATTTGCCTTTTAGAAAGCATTTCCCACACATCATGACAAGGAATGATCCAGAGAGCGTAAGAAAAGTTAAATAAACATTCATTGACTGTTTTTTTTTTTTTTAGGTATCAATAAAATAGTTCATTTGATTGAAGTTTAAAGCAAAACAAATTAAAATCCATGATAAATTCAATTAGTTAATTACTATGTGTTTATTTGATTATTTAATTTGTGGTGCGTTTGATTTGGATCGGGGTATACACACACACACACACACACATATATATAATGTATTATTTTATTTACAATATATTAAAATGAGAATAAGCACATAACTTTTAAAAAAATAAAATCGAGTAGGTTTTCAAAATTAGCAAATATAAAAAAAATAACTTATTACAATTTTCATGAATATTTTAAACATGAGATCTTGATTTACTATCGTTTTCACAATGAAAACAGAAAGAAAAAAAAAATTCTTTAACACTATTGTCTCAATTAAACTCAAAACACCTAATTCAAAATCATTTTAATCTATATATTTATAAGAATTGTTCTAAGCAAAGAGTTAGGATTGAGAACTACAATTTAAAATATATGTAGTAGCACAGTTTAATATAACAATAAAAGTTTTCAATAAATCTAAAGTTTTCTTTATTGTTATACTTTAAAACTTAACCAATATAAATTTAAACTTATTTTTATGAATTTAAAAGCATCTCACTTCTTAACATTTTTTTTAACATCTAAACTCCATTTTTTCTCTTATCATCACATTCTATTCTTCTAAATCATTTTCACTTTTCTAAATTTTGTCACATACCCATAATCGATTATGTGAAAAAATACAATTAATTATATTTTCATGACTGTTGAAACAAATTCGTGTCAAAAGATAACCAAGTAAAAAAAAAAAGAAGCTAATTTAAACTTGACGAAAATTTTAGAAAATATATGAAAACAAAGTTATTATTATTGGAGCTTACCTAAAAGTAGTGGTAAGGTACTTTAGATGATGACTCTCTCTTCCACCAACACAATAATGTCTCGTGATGATCCAAATATGACATAGTATCGAGTTTTTGTTCCCACATTCTTGAATTCTTGAATGAGAGTTTTGTCTTCAATTTATAGTTAAATGAGTCATGAGTTAGTTATCAACCATGTCGAGTGATTGTGCAAAGATGATATAATGTATGCAGAGAAAGTTTTGTAAAGAAATATTGGTAGAGTGAAAGGATAAATAATTTAATTTCTCTTATATTTTTGTTTTGTGCATCTTCTATCTTTATAAATTATATATATTTTTTAAAGAAAACCATAAATCTCGCTTATATTTAAACACATATTAATGAAGAGGTGATGAAGCACAAACATCTTTCTTCTACTTCTCAATTCTAAACATTCTTTCTTTCATTCAAAATACTGTGTATAACACAAAGAAGACAGTTTTGTGGAGTGTAAATGCAGTCACAACACAAAGCTAGTCATTCAAAACATTTTCTCAAACAAAACAACCTACATCTTTTTCCACTTTTGATAAAATATTTGACATTTGAAAGTTTGTATGAATAAGAAAAGGTTTTGATTCGGTGGGGTGATTAGGGAAATTGAAAGAGGTGTTAAACAGAAAATGAGTATCTTTATGATTATGAAAACAAAACAAAACGAAAAATAAAACAACTTTTGCGGGGCTTTCTGACAATATTCTGCGTACGACCACACTGTCTTCTTCCACTGTAGTCTGTACCTTTTATTTTTTATTTCTTCATATTTATAGGGAATAGTGCAGTGCTCTCATTTACATTTACATTTATGTTTATTTTTATTTATTTATTGTTATTCTCTCAGTTATACTTTCAACGTATATAAAACCTCCAGCTTTAATTTATTTTATTGGGAAATGAAATGAGATGAAATGGAATCAAACAAAACGAAACGCACTGCTCACTGCTCTCTGCTCTGTTCTCTCTCTCTCACTCTCTCACAACACATTTATTGCATTTTTCTATATTTTTCACCTTTCTCTTCTCCTTCGCTCTCTCTGGGCCTAGGGTTTCTCTTTCTCTCTGCTTCTGCTTGTGCTGTGCCTTCCTTCGTATATTGTCACATTCATCTGGTTATCAACTTTCCCAAATACTCAGGTTAGTGTAAAATAATGTTGCAATTTTTTTCTGACTTATTTGGGCATTTTAATATATGCATTGCATGTGTGTATGTAATGCAATGCATGTGCTTTTTTTTAGTTTAGGAATTTTACTGGCTGTGGTGTTAGAGCATCTCAGTCATCCTCACCTTGGCCCCTGTGTGTTCCTAAAAATCTGACATTTTAGTCATATACTGTTTAATGTTGGTGAGTTTCAGAAGTTGAATGTAGATGATACCTGCGGAGAGAGGTTGCCCTGTCGGTGGCTCTGATCTCTGTTAATGCTCATTGCATTCCTTGCTTTCTGCCAAAGGTACAAGAATACACCATCCTGCATTGCAATTTTGGTGGGTGAGGTTCATAATGACACTACTTTCCTTTTTATAACCTTTTCTGTCAATGGGCTTTCTACTTTTGCTCATTTTTCTTTTTTCTTTTCTCCGTTTTCTAATGGATGCTACTCAAATACTTACTGATTCCTTCCCGTCATCTAGTTGAATCCAAAGGAATGACATTTCCACGATGCCATATGCTCGCTTCGCCATTTCATCACTAATGTCTTGTCTTGGAACTTGGTACGGAATCTAGGGGTTTTTTCCTTTACAACAAGCTAAATAAAGGTTCTTTTCTTCCGTTAATCTTCATGCGCTTTGTTGCTAATTGTCGCAAAACTAAACTACTACTTGGCTAGTTATTTATTTAGTATTTCCATTCTCTTTCTCATTTGATGTGATTATAGTTTTTGGTCAAACTTTTAAAATATTGTGCTGAGCGTCGAATAGCCTGTTTAGGAAAGTAAGGTAATAAGGCATGGAGTTTCTGAAAATCAAGAAGTTCAGAAAATCTCAGAAAACAAATGGAGAAAAGAATTTGGCAGACAAAGCAGTGGCTGAGCCCGAGGAACCAAAGCTGAACACTGACGGTCCTGATCAGTGTAAATCAGAAAATGCAGATTCTGCTGGTGAAGCTGAGGATGACGATGATTTTATTACCAATGAGGTTAAGAGGAGGCTGAAAGAATTGAGAAAAAACAGTTTTATGGTGCTGATTCCCGAAGAAGATTCCTGCCCGGAGGAAGGGGAGGATGAAGAGGAAGAGGGAGAGACAAGCTCAAACGAGTGGAGGGATGTGGAGGCAGAAGGTCAGCAATGGTGGCGTGGTTTCGATGCTGTATTTGAAAAGTATTGTGAAAGAATGCTATTATTTGATCGGATGAGCACTCAACAACTTAGAGAAGTTGGCAAAGGTAGGTTTTTATTGTTGCTATGAGTTTTTTGTGAGGGTAAACGGGTGGTAAAAGAAAAAAAACTCAGTTTTTTTAGTTTTCCCATGTTGGCAAAGGTATACTTCATATGCAGATAGAGTAATGGTTGGGAATGCCAATTCGGTTTCTTCTCTGCGTTCATTTAGTTGTTTTTGTCTGTGGACTTGTCTCATGATACGTGATTAGGACAATAATGGATGCCTGACGAAAATTGCTCTTAATATTTCTTTTGGGAAAAAGCAATATTATACCAAAGAAAACCTGGCATTTTTGTGAGCTTGGATTTAGCAATCTGTCTGGATTCAATTGCTTATTTTTCATCATTCCAGTGCAAGCATAAACCTGAAAAGTTGCGGAAATTGTGTTCAACAGTTTACTGTACTTGTTCTAGTCTTTATATGTAAAGCTCTTTGGTAAAAAAGTTATGAGCTGGTTATATTCAATTGATCAAAGATATTATATTGAGATAGAAACCATGATATTTCCTTCCCTTTACCACCTGCAAATTGTAATTGCTAATATAATATAGGATTTCTGTTTTATTAGTATTTGTCGGATGTTGTGATATGGTGCACTCTCACTGTCAGGTTCACAGTATACTTCAACTCCATCTCCAAAATCTGCATCAAAAAAGCTGGCTTCTCCCCTTCGTTGTCTTTCTTTGAAAAAAATTGAAGAACCAGATGATGAGACCGAACATCTTCAACAGCCTGAGAATGACCCCTACCAGGATATTGAAACAGCATATGTAGGTCAAATTTGCTTGACTTGGGAGGCCCTTCATTGTCAATATTCTCATATGAGTCAGAAGATATGTTGGCAACATGATAATCCTACCTGTTACAATCACAGTGCGCAAGAGTTTCAACAGTTCCAGGTTCTATTACAAAGGTTTATAGAAAATGAACCTTTTGAGCATGGCCGTCGGGCTGAGATATATGCTCGCACTCGGAACAATTTGCCTAAACTACTTCAGGTTCCCAATATACGAGGTGAATTTCTTGTAAATCATTCAAGTGTCATGGATACCACTGAAGTCAATAATAATTAAACAAATTGCTGGTTATATATCACTGCATATAATTTTGATCTTGTGGCTCGTTCTTGTGTTTGTAATGATGTAACTGTAAGTGCTCAACTTTATGAATCTATTCAGGTTCAGATCATGAATTGACTGATGATTCAGAGATAAGAGTTCTTGCTCCTGATCTGATCAGGATAATTGAAAGCTCTATCCTTACATTCCACTTTTTCCTGAAAAGGGACAAGAAAAAGTCAAGTGGTGCTACCAACCAGTTTGGAAATCAATACCAGCTTGCAACTCCTCTACACCAGATTCAATCAACTCTTGAAAAGGTAACTTCAGAATTTTACCTTGGGATAAGATTGCAGTTTTATAATATACTAATAAACTTTTGAAGCATATAGACTACTAGTTAGCTTTGCGGCCATTAGTCCTCCCAATTATAGATTTTTAGGCTTGGTAGTTACTAAAGGTTATCAGTATGTTCTTAGCGCAGTACCCCCATCCTTTCCATCAATTCTTGTTGTCTAATTGAAATGCTGTGTGGTTGACTATCAAGTTTTGCTACAAATGACTCTTTAATATGCTTGTTCTAGTTGGAAAAATACTAATGTGGATTATTATCAAAAAATATATCAACCATTGTTTACAGCTTAATGATTTTTGAGCTATTTCTACCATTTAATTCAAGTTTAAGAGTGATTATTCCTTGCTTTACATTCTTTTGATGAAAATATAATTAGGACATGAGTGGATCAGGGAAATTTGTAATACAATTCAAATGTAAGGCAGATTATCCTTGCTTTTTCTTGTTTTTGATGAAATAGGTAAGGAGATATAGGTGGGTCAAGATTTTTTAAGATATTCCTAAGGCGAGCCTAGAGAGATCGCTTTTCTGCTAAACATAGAACCAATTTATTATTTATTTTGCTTTACCTGCCAATAATTATGGATAATAAATATAAGACTAAGAAAATGTATGTATTTTCTTCATACTGCAGAAAGTGGTGAAGCTGAAGGAACTGCGGAGAAAGAAAAAAGGTTGGAAGAAGAATTCATGGCCACAAAAGCACGAGGACATTCAGCTTTTGCTTGGGCTTGTTGACTTGAAGATGGTATCAAGGGTTCTGAGAATGATGAGGGTGACTAGGGAACAACTATTCTGGTGTGAAGAGAAGATGAAAAAACTGGATTTATCAAGTAGTAGGTTAGAGAGGGATCCATGTCCCATCCTCTTCCCGTGCTAGGATCAGATCAGTGTTGTAACATCGGCTTTTAGTTCTTTCTTTGTCCTTGGATCCATAATTGTTGCTTACACAACTGTAGCCTTGAAGACGTCATCAAATGGGCTTCTAGATCGCCCTATAACTGTTTAGGATGGATGTCTTGCCTTGGGAAGAATTCGGAAATACTGTATGACAATGAGAGAGCAAGAATGAATGGTTTTCTGTTTGTTATAAAAAATGTATGGATAAATGTACTCTTGTTCTGTCAAAATTCAGAGTTTCCAAGTTTTCTGTAACTCCCAACACAACAAACATCATAGTTGTCACGGATTGTCCTTGCTGGTTCTTAGACTCGATCTAATAATGTTTACAAAAATGCAACATTTTTGTCCGAACATGATTCGATACTAAGATAAAATAAACAAAGGATGTTATCAAGATTTGCAGTGGCACCATCCACCATAGCTTTATGATTTTCGAAATTGTACATGTGATTTGATTAAAGTGAACAAAATTCCTGTTGCCATTTTATACAGAAATGGGAGCGCGGGCAGTTTGGAGATTCCATGGTCCAACTCCTTCAATAAATGCTGTTGAATGGTTGGTATCTTGTCACTAATTTGTAATGTGATGTAATAATGATGTTGAGATGAGCACATAATCTTTATGAAAAGTGGATTATTTAGTTATAACAAATTATATGAATAAATTAAAAAAAAAGGTGTTAATGGTAAGAAATAAAAAGTAAGGATAAAAGAGAGTAAGAAAGGAAAGGATAAGAAGAGGGTTGAAATGAAAGAGAGGAGAAAAAGAGGAAGTTGATTGGGTTGGTTGGGATGATGGATGGGAGAAGGAGCGGCGGAGCAGGAAAGGCGATAATAGCGCTGCTGATTGGGACGCTCGTCTATTATCACTGCGCCTACCGCAATTCCACCCTTCTCTCTCTTCTCTCCGATGTCTTCATCGTCCTTCTCTGCTCCCTCGCCATTCTCGGTCTTCTCTTCCGACAGATGAACATACAGTCAGTGCTTTTCATCTCTTACTTTTCTCGTTTTTCCGTCAATTTCTTTTCCTTAGGGTTAGGGTTTCTTTTCTTCCAGGGTTCCCGTCGACCCCCTCGAGTGGCAGATATCGGAGGACACTGCCAATGCGATTGTCGCTTGGTTAGCCAACACGGTGGGTGCCGCCGAGTCCGTCTTGAGGGTTGCCGCCACCGGCCATGACAAGAGGCTTTTTCTCAAAGTCATCCTTTCCCTCTATCTCTTCTCTGCTCTTGGAAGATTCGCTCTTGGTATCACCGTTGCCTATGCCGGTAATCACTCGTTCCTCTTTCTCTTGTTTACTTCACAATATCACATTCCATTTTCACTCTTTTCCTTCTCTTTTTCATTTTCTTTACACAGGGCTATGCTTCTTTTGTCTTTACATGCTCGCCAACTGCTCTGAATCATTTAGCTCTGCTGTACCCTGGTTCTTCGGAAGAACAAATGACATTAGCCAAGTGCAAGACACGATCATGTAAAACACTTATTTTGTACTTTTCCTTTTTCGCTTCACATTTATGGTTTACTTTGTACCTAAACTGGAAATTACAACACTCTATCAGTCAATCATATAGGTTAGCATTGCATTGAATTGAATGTCCTTGTACATATGATGTATATGTATGTTCCCTGGCAACCGTAAAGTATGTGAGAGGAATAAACCCCACTTTGATCTCAAGAGATTTTCAGAACACCATTGGCGTTGTTATCTCTTGTGATCAACTCCATGTTTGCAATGTATAATACTGTGTTAAGTTTCATTTCAATGTCATGCAAGTGTTTTATAATTTGAAGACAGTCTAAAGATTTGTTCAAATCGATGTTTTAAAGGCTTTTACTGAAGAATTTATTCGAGAAGTTAAGTATATCCATTATTCCATTACTCTTTTTGCACTATTCTTTTATCTGGATTCCTGATGGAAGCCTTTCACTGTTTTTATTTTAGGTTCTTTTGATTGGCAATTTATAAGGTCATTTTGTTTATTTTACTCTTGGAACTGATAAATCTTTTAGTATCATGTTATGGTAGCCATAAATTTTAACTTGTAATGTTATGAAATATTCATTATGTTTAGAGTCGTTACTGTCAATGAAATATAATTAAATTTAAATGGGCGATACTTTATAAAATTAAGAATCAAAGCAGGCATTTCGTAATTGAAAATTAAAACCACAAATGACTGAATTATTGAGATTATAATAGTAATAAATTAAATATAATAAAACATGATTGAACAGTCCCATAACATTTATCGAGGAAACCAAACCAAGACAGGGAACAATGCAGTATAACATGCAAAGACAAAAGTTAGATGACCTATGTTTGAAAGTTCTTTACTAAGACGGGCAAATCAGTTACAAGTACTTATTGACAGACTGCAAGCCTTCAAGCTTTTGAATTAGCAACTTATGTTCCACCATACTCTTCCCTCGACTTTTTTGTTTTTCAATGGTTTCCAAAGCCTTACTTCTAGCGTTTACTGGACGAAGAAGGCAGTCTCTTTACCCGCTTGTTGGAAATATTCTTTTCTATTTCAAATACATAAGAAGAGAAAAGGCTTACAGTCTGAAGTTTGATAAAATTAATTTTAGAATCATTGATGTCTTCATATTCTGGGTCAGTTTACACCTCATCCAAACTTACCACTCTGACTCAATCATAACATACTGTACTCGCATCGATCCCACGATAACAATTCCGCTAAATATAGTGATCAAATGGTAACACAGAGATCTAACCCAGTCTCAAACTTAGAAAAAAAGTTGGTTATTGACCCATGTATACTTCATGTAATTGACATATATACTTAAACCACTATCAATAATAAATTTTATATTGAAACATATAACAAATTCTATATTAATACCATGCGAGCACTCAAAGCTGTATTCATGAGAAGAATTGATTTATCCTTACACGTATTCGTTAATAATAATTCGGTTAAATTTGTTTCTTTCCCTCTCATCTATCGTACGCCTCCTATGTATACAATTTGATGACATACACGTTGTGATTGTGATTATGATGGAGAGAAACAACGAACACAGGAAACTTCTCCCGAACTCATTCTTTAACGTTATTCTTCGATAAGAATCTTCCCAATTCAATATCAAAATCTGGAAACTTACAAGCTAGGTAACTTACTCGTTAGTACATGCCCACCATTCCAACGAGCAAAACAACTTTCCGAATAATTTGTTTTCCTAACCCAGCATTGTGTTATACTATTCTTAGAGCATTACTTGTTGAGTTACAAACCTAAAAGGGATTACCATTCTGGACAAGCAATATGTCTTTCCATGCTTCATAAAACATCCAGGTGATACCAGAGGATGGCATGACCTTTAAACAGCTCGCACCCCATCCTCTGTAGAGACCCTTCAGACCTTCTTCCCTAATTACTTCTGTTAGTGCCGCTGCCATGTTTGGTGGGCACTTACCTTGCAAAGCGCCCACCATCAGCCGCTTCCTAGCCACTTCCAATGGGAAGCTAATTGTACTGGCAGTAAAACCTGGGTGAGCACAAACAAATCAGCTAACACAAATCATTTATATTACCAAGTACAACATTTTCAGGCTCAACATGTATAGATAGAGTTAGAATGGGACCCAACAATGGGATTAAAAGGTGCATTAACGGCTGTTTTGGTAACAGTGAAAGCAAAGAGAAAAAACGTGGAAGAGTAAGGAAAAGAAGAATATCGAAAAACAGGAGTTGTTTGGTAGCGTGGAACCCAGTAAGTGAAGAAATAAAAAGGTGTGGGTTCACACCTTATTTCATTGCAAAAATGTATGGATTTATTTGTAGGAGTGACAAGCAAGAACAACTTACCAATTATATGTTATAATGTAATCAATTACTAATACATTGCACAACAAATCTTGTGTTTATGCTTATTAGCACAATCGATTATATATATTTATTATTATTAATTTTTAATTGAAAATTTTGATTTTTTCACTCTATTTTCTCCAACCAAACAATCTCATTTTCACTCCTTTTCTAACCTATTTTCTTTTTCCTTTTTTCCTCACCAACCTATTTCTTCTCCCGCTATCAAACAAAGCTCAAGTGACACCGGCAGAATACAGTACCAGAAAATGATGTCGGCTTATCAAACATCCAATTAAATCTGTTACACCTTGAAACACACTCATACACCCTTTCTTTCTCTTCCACTGGCTTTGGGTTATAAAGAAAAAAACAAGAAAGAAATCAAATAGTGAATGACTACTTTTGCATAACATATTTCATGCTATCATTTGCTTTATGTAACATGGGTGTCTGTGTGTGTGACTGTGAAACAAGGCAAAACTAAGAACAACAAGAAAGGAGAACATAAATAATTAAGTCTTTTAAACAAGTACTAGAGATTCTCTAACCTGCTAGGGCTCCAATCAAAAGCATCTCTGGGCGATTTAGAGATTTCTTATTTTTGGTCTGGCAGTACGAATCCTTCATTGTATCATACAAGAAATAATAACATGTACTGTATGGAAGCATCCCAACTAAAGTTGGTGAAATACCGGCATAAAAAGCGCCAACACCACCATCTTTGTAAATATTTCTAATCGCAATACCTAAAGAAGGGTAGATTTCAGGACTTACTGTTAGCCGGTCCTGTTAAAATCAGAAGACAATTACAATTTTAAACAAGAGTAAGGTTTCAAATTTTCAAGCCATGGTCATTATTAAACAGTACAACAGTATAAATTATTTAGATGCAGCATCAATCCTACGTATGGTGATGTCCCAGTAGAAAACAAATACACATAGTCCTTTCAATTTAATATATATCTGTGATGTGATTTATTAAAACTTTTTTCCACAAGATACCTTCAAAACTTCGAGGGGATGGCATACAATTGTGCTAGCAATTCCTGCTGCAGCACCAGCGACAGCGACCGGTGAAATCCAAGATAAGGGCAAGTTGAAATTGATGCAACCTATGTGCAACTTGGGGTATTCAGTGTGTTCCCATTTGTGGTGGAGGGATGTCATAGCCCGTTTGACGCACTCAAATGTAGCTAGCTCAATGGCCTGTGTCGGAACTATACGAAGCATATTGATCATGTTTCCAGCCCACAATCCTTGCCATCCCTGCTGCTCTATAACCTCTATGAAACTACCAGCAATATTTTTGGACCCAACACCAACAACCATTCTTGTCCTGCACATATAGTTGACAGATTACTATGAATATCTAGCCAAGTAGGAAAAGCAAATAGATGGGTGCATTACAGAAGAAAAAAAAAAAGGAAAAAGGGCGAACCTGATGGTCTCAAGAGGAGCAAGTATAGCCTTTGTCATGGCCCCTGCAAGAGCACCGCTGATAAACTCGCGAGCCTCTCTAGACAGAAAATTCTGAAAGAGTTCATAAACTAGAAAAAATAAATATAACAAACAGCAGGTGGGCATAACGAATGAAGAATGGAAAGGTGTGGACAGGTAACTGTAAGTGGAGGAAGGCGAAATTGAAAATCCAAGGTAGAGTTGTGATGATCGATCTCCATGTCTTTGATGATGCTGTAGACGTCTCCAAAGACGCCGTGGCCATACTTGTTGTTGTTGTTGTTGTTGTTGTTGTTGAGGGAATGGGAATGGGTTCGCAATGCCATGTTAGCTTCCTGAACAAATAGAAAGACAGAAAACAGAGATATTAGTATCCAATTTTAGCGCAGCCAATCGAAGATATTAATGCAAAGAAAAAGACATGCCTGAGGCTGAGGTTTGGAGTCAGAGTGAGTGTTGGAGGAGGACATTTTGTTGTTGTGTTGTGATGTGTGTGTGTGTTGTGTTGGGTTGTGTAGCGTTGCGTTGTTAAGGGTAAATTCCTTTTTGACTTGCCTTCTCCTTCACCGATCACAACGCTCTAGGGTTTCTCTCCCGGAATGAGTCGCTCTGTTATATTTTCTCTCTCACTCACACTCCTCAAACATTCATTCATCGATGCATAAACTTCAATTCTTACCATCTTCTCTTATTCCTCACCAAAATTTATGTCCCTATCTATTCCTTCACCAATTTGCAATTAAATATTCCATCCCAATAATTTTTAAACATTTTATTTGTGCAAGTCCCTTTTCCCACGTAATTACAACTCACTAACAATGTGACATTTTTATATTTTTTCTTTAAAAAATTACATTGTGCATTACGTCATGGGAACAACTTCAATTTTTTCAATATTCTTTCCTTATCTACATCTCTAATACTATTATAAACATACATGGGAATATTTTATTTAATTAAATTTTTAAAAACAATTTATCAGAGTATTAAATTAGTCATATTATTAATTTTTTTCACTATTTATTAACACAACACAAAAGTTAGTAATATTTAATAGGGGTAAACAAAACATAAAATTATATAAAAGCTATAAAATAATAATGTTTTAGAAAAAATATAACAACATTTTTCTCCTAAAATATTCCTTATATAAATATAAAAAAGAACATTGTTATCTTATAAAAGTGCGACGTTTTGATTGTTATTGATTGCATAAGATTTTTGAAACACAAATTTCCTATTAATTATATGGACCATTCCTATAATAAGAGTATAATTTACTTTGCTTTTAATTCATATTCTTAATTTCTTTCTAGTAAACATAATGGCAATAATTAACAAAATTATCAATTTAACAAATGATATTATGAAGAAATGACACATTAATATATTGTGTTAAATTTTAAAGAAAGATGATAAACAATATTTTAAAATTTAAAGAAAAATATCAATAATAATATGTTATTAGATTAGAAAATTCTCATTGAAATACTATTTAATTATAAATTATATTCTTATTTTTAATTCACTAAAATAATTAAAAATATATATTATAATATATTTTTAATTAATTTAATAAATATATAATCTTAAATAATTTATTGTTTGTGTAAATTTTGTTCACACTAAAATAAAGTGTAATATAAATTAAAAGAATCGTGGACTATTGGTTGAACTTTTCACGATGACTACTTATTTTCTTTGGAGAAAACTAAAAGAAAAAGTAATAAGTTAGAATTGTATATATTTTCAACCATAAAAAGTTCCAAATTACATTTTTGTTTATATATGTTCAAAGTTTACCACTTATATGTGGAACATGTATTGAACCCATCATTTGTCTCTCCAATAATTGTTTAGTATTATTATTATAGGTTATATATATTAAAGTTTTAAGTTGAACAAAAAATAATAGTTAATCTTTATTTTCAAATACGGTGAGGCTTTTGGTTAGTGTTTCACACCATTAAAGAATAAATAAAAAAATAATTATTTACATGTTTATAACGTTTAGAGTAGTTAATTCTATAAATAGTAACTTTTATGGGTGATACTAAAAAGTGTTTGGTGATAAGATTAGGGTTTTGATGATAAAAAATAGTAGGAAGTGCAATCATGTAATAATAGCAATATCGTATCTATCTGCTGTTGGAATGTATTATTGGTGACGTGGCAGAAGCTAGTGCTATGCACTTGGATTATTCATCATTAATCTTATCCATTCCACTAAAAGTTAATTAGGTTAAGTTAGATTATGTTGTTTTAAAATTGGATTGAAGAAATTCAATTCAATTTTGTGATCATGGATTAAGAAGGGGTGGAAAATATTGTATTGAACTTTTTCTCATTTTTTAAAACTTTTGGCCTTTGGGTACTCAATAAAACCGTTTTTGCATAACAATTCATGTTGATTTTACATGACCTTTAAAGTTTTGAAAAATCTTTAACACAATCAAGTCTATCTCAAAGATACAAAGTGGTTCCATTTTTCTTTTTTTTCATCGAATTCTTTTTAAATATTAAAGCTATCTAGATCATGAATTTTGGAGAATAAAAAAAGTTAATTAGTAGAACCAATTAAAGAAAAAAACATTGTTAGATTATTTCTTTTCATATTCAAGAATTGAAAAGTACCTTACTCAATGAATTAGTTGATTTAGATTAATATATTTTTCTTAAGATGTTTTGTGTAAGAAGTTAATTTATGTTTAGTTATAATCACAAACAAATACATATAAATATAGTAGTAACAAGTAAAATATTATACGTATTAAAAAAACAAAAGTAACACGAGTTCAAATAAAATATTCATTTTGTTTCAATTTGATACAAGCATGAGGATAATTTTTTTGTTTTTATGTTAGACTCTGCTTTATATGTTAGTCATGGTTTCTGGGGAGAAATAATTCCTCCTGAAGTACTTTGAGAGTGTTAAACTCAGTGTTGTGAATTTATATACTCTTTAAAAAAATTGTTAACAAATATCCATGATATCTATCTATGTTTATATTTTCTGTTGTTTATTAATAAGATGATTTGACATGCTGGCTTAAGGGTTTTATATTTGTGTTTGTTCCATAAAGAAATAGGCAAGTCACATGGAAATAACAGAGTATCATCTTCCAGGATCTTCTAAGCATCCAATAAAGCAAAGCACCAATCATATATTCAAGTTGCCCTTAAATAATTATCTATATACAGTTAACTGACAAACAAATGAGTAACCTTATCACTACCACAAAACTCAATAACTTCAGCTTTATTTTTAACATGCATGTTTCCTATATGGCAGAAAACAGTAAGTGAAAGTATTCAAAATTTCTGATGTTTTTATGGTAAAAGCTGTAACAAACGAATCAATAATACACAACATCTTTAGCTTATGCAGAAGGAGTCAACATAATGAGGTGCATTTTGAAATGCTATAATAATGAGAAATATTTTAAATGTAACAAAACTATATATATATATATATATATATATATATATATATATATATATATATATATATATATATATATATACGGTAAACCTTGAATTTATGGATCTGATTCTTACACCTGCAACTGATCCCTAATCTCAATGATTATCTGCACAGTACAGAAATAAATATTGAATGTGGGAATAAAATATGGTGTGTGCATGAATTAAATTTTGATGCAGCAGTTGGCATTTGAGGCTGAGTTTGATTATAAATAAATGAGTTGCCAACCAATGATGACCCTCTTGAGATTCACAGCTGTGATCATCTTCATCATCACTCCACACTTCTCCACATATATACAATCTTTAGTTTCCTTTTCTTGCATATATATATATATATATATATATATATATATATGATGGATTCAAAGAAGTGTAACAAGATCCGAGAGGTGGTTAGGCTTCAACAAATCCTCAAGAAGTGGAAGAAATTTGCAACATCTTCTGCTTCCAACAGTGCAGACACGGTTCCAAAAGGCTTCCTGGCTGTTTGTGTAGGGAAAGAGCTCAAGAGATTCATCATTCCCACCCATTACCTGAGACACCAAGCATTTGAGATGTTGCTCCAAGAAGCCGAAGAGGAATTTGGTTTCCAGCAAGAGGGTGTGCTCAAAATCCCATGCCACGTATCACTCTTCCAGAAAATTTTGAAGGCTGTGGAAGACAACAAACAACCCTTGCTGCATCACTCTGGGTTCGATGGAGACAAGGACACCATTAGTTTTTACGCATCAGATTGTGAAGTTACTCCCCCTCATCATCCTCAAACTTGTACATAGATATTGATTCTTTTTATTCTCATTAATCTTAATAGAGCATCCGGGCTTTTCTATTTCTCCTTTTCTTGTGATCGACATGCATGCTTTAATTATATCAGTGTAAAGTAGTGCAAATTGCTACTTAATTATATGGATGTCTTAGTTATATATTCATATACATATATATATATATATATATATATATATATATATATATATATATATATATATATATATATATATATATATAAATCAAGGAGCATATAAGTATCTCGTTGATATTTTCCTAATGTTAGGAGTTATTAATATAAGGACTCAATGAAAGTGTAGATGTTAATATGCAAAATTGATCTACTATCGGTTTCTATAATATATAAAATGTGCAATATTAATACATATTTCTGATCTTGATCGTGGTTACGTACGGTTTCCATTAATAGATAATTGCTGATAGCCTTTGCGCCACGCCTGCATGATCCAACATTTCCGGTTCCTTCCAGTAATAAATGACGAATCAATTTTAATTTTTTATCGATTTAAATGAACCCAACTTGCGCTAATATATCTTACATGTCCTAAAACAAAACGACATACAAGTACGACTAACTTGTACGTACCCATAATATAATATGGTTCGAGTTCTAGTTCTAGTTCTAATAATTCATCATATTTGATCACATCATGCATGAAGAGAATTAAAAGAAGGAAATAATTAAAGTTAGGAATGGAAGAGGAAGCTGCATGCAGATTGGATTGTACATACTACAGGTTCATACACAGAGAAAAAGGAGTGAATGATTAAATATTAGATTACATCACATAAATATATATACATGTGACTGGAACATGTATGTATCCATTCATAATGAAGAATAAGGAAGAATATGAATGACTGAGTTAATGACTACAAATGAGGGGGATGTTAGCAGGTTTCTTAGAAGGCAAGGCCCGTTTTCGTTGGGAACAGGAGGTCAAAATTTGCTGAAAATGGTCTTCATCGCAGGGGATGTGAATGGCACCGTCATGGTCGCAGCCGTATTCGTCGGCGACGGAGTCCATCAAAACACCGAAGTCAGGCATGGCCAAGAAGCTAACCGGAATGACAAATCTCCGAAAGTGGGGACCCACATAAACAGCGAGGAATCCTTTGGGAACCTTGCCACTCCTTGTGCCGTCGGAGGATTCTCCTGACGCCAGCAATGGCTTCCTTGAATGGTGTTGATGACGGCAACTTAAGGATCTGGATGCCAGCTTCAGATGGTTTGGGATCCTTTTAATGATTCTTGAGGTGGATATCGAAATGCTTCTACTCACTTTCATCTTCATCTTCGATTCTAACTCGCTATGTATTCTGATATCTACTATTCTTCTTGTTCATCCCCCATGTGTAGTGTTATATATATTTGTGTATGTACGTACGTACACAAAAACATGATCAAGAAAAATATGCCATGATCGATGGAGGAAGAGTTTCTTTTCCCTTCAGAGATTAAGGAACCCAAACCCAATCTCTTCCTGAGAGAGAGGGACGGAAGGGAAAGAGGATTAATTCCAAATTTCGATGCTCGCAACCTAGTTTCTGTTCACGCCATGCATCTACCACCTTAAATTATTGGTAACATTGGTTGTACATATTTTTGCCGTGAAGGTCAACCATTAATTATCTCCCTATATATACTTTCACAACGCCTCCCTCACCATTTTTTTTACTTCATTATCGTAAGTATATTTTCATTTACTATTTTTGGAAAAACCAAAAGAAAATATTGTTTATTATTTTTATTTAATTTAGAATAACTAAATGAATCTTAATTAACTAATTTATCTATTATTTAATTGGACCGTTGTTCATTACGTCAGATTGATCGGATAGATACCCTTGCAAGGAGATCAAAGTGTTCATCTAGTGTAAATTCTTGTTATATGGCTACAATATTAACAAATTGACGTTGGATTTTAACTGTGTTTTGTTGTGTTACACCGAAATAATAAATAAAACATTTATTTCAGTTATTTAAGTATTCTTCGTATTATTTTTTTTAATGAAAATCAATCTTTTTATTTAACATCGATTTTTGTTGTATGGTTTCAAAATGAAAACGCTAATTTATAATTGTGTCAGCAATATAACACTCTAAATTTTTACCAATTGAGAAATACACAAAGTTTAGACGTTAATTTCACTTAACGTGTTATGACATAAAATATAATTATTTACTATATCCATTTTGCTGAATTCTTTTTAATGAAAATTTACTTCAACTTTAATTGCACAATAAAACTAATAACATCTATGAATTTAGGTATAAATTTAGGGGGCTTAGCTGCTTGACTATCTAAAGATGCTGGAAAATGAATTGAGACTTGAAAAGAGTTATTTTGGAAGATTAGTGGAGGCTTATTTGCCTCTAGTGTCTAGAGGCGAAAAGAAAGCTTCCATTTTTTTTGTTTTTGCTTGCGCCCTTATCATTGGATTGTCAGATAAACATCAGGCAAACTTTTTATCAATAAGTCGAAAGATTATTATATAAAAGATTATAACATTATTTTTAATAAAAAAAACTTTAAAGAAATAGATTTATGAATTTTTTTCTTTATTCATTTTCTCTATTTTTATTCAATGAGGGACTCTGACTTGAACACCAACTATCGTAAGATGTGCCGTTTTGGCATTTCGAGATGCAGTTAAGTAATGATGGCACAGCTGCTTCGATTGATTCACTGGTAATTGGGGGTACAAACAATCAAACTATTTGGTGAGACACCCTTTGCTTCTGCAACTTCTGGATCAGTACATAAATGTGACAGCCAAGTAAGATGCACAAGGCACTGATACGTGGTATAAACGATGTACGAAAAACATAGAAACATGGATTGCCCAACCTTTCTATCAAATTATACTGCTGAAGGGAGGAGGACGACCATGCGTTCCTGCCAATGTCCAACCAAAATGCGTCCATGATTTGAACGCTTCTAATTGCGTCATTGCCTTCGTTCAAAGGGCTTCATTTAAGTAGTTTTTATATATCATCATCATTAATAATAATAATAATAATAATAATAATAATAAGGATCAGTACCTTTGACTCGTTGTACATATAGTTTTCTGAAAAAGATGAACTTGGGAGAAGTCCGTTGGAAAGATTGGTAGAGTTACGCTACAAGAAGCACCTTCGGAAAGTGCAACACGGAATGCATCCATCCATCCATCTCAGTTTGTTTCCTAAGAGTTCTATAAAAGTGAAAATTTGGATGTGGGAGCGTGAGAGAGATACACAGGTTTCTGTTCTGGGGCTGGGATGATGTGTAGTTCATATTCTCTCATAAATATGCCTATAGGGAAAGAGGAATTCGATGACAATCATTGCCAGAGAAATATGATTGAGGCTTCCATATTGTGATCCTGCATGAAGGTGCAAGTACGAGGTTTAGTTTAGCATGAATGGTAAATAATAAGTTTAGTATGTCGTATGTATGAAGATGTTGTGATTTGGTAAATGACTGTTTCACTTCATATTTAAAGAATATATTGGAACAAATAATCATTTTTGAGAATGAATGGGTTGTTACATAAGAATATACCAGAAAAGGCATATGTAGCTACGTTATGTATGAGTTTTGGTTTGAACAAATAATTTTGTGTATTTCCCCAATGATCATAACTTCTTTAAAACACTAGAGAAATCACTGGACTTTTACATTTTCCTTGTGAATCTCCAGTATATTGATATATTTCAAACTTTGCTTTATCATATTTTCTTACAGAACATACCTTCATAATTAATATCGATACAATTTTTCATCTTGCATAACGGTCCACAAGTGCTTTGGCTTTATCAGGTGCAAAGAACCTAGCCTGTACAAAAAAGGTTAAAACAGTGCAGAAAAGAAAAGTTTAGTTTATATAAATGTTATTTTTACATTATTTCACGTACGCGATTATGCAAGTTCAATTCATAAACTTACTTGTATGAACATTCTTTCTGCATCACCAATATTTTTGCTTTCTTTTAGGATGATTCCCTGTAAAAATACAAGGCATAATTTGAGTAGATCTCCTTTCAATACATGTCTTTAGGACCAAAATAGCATCAGAGACAATGAAACATGAACAGTACCAAGTGGTCATGGTTGGTACTTATGAGAGCCTGGCTTATTCTTTACTAGTAATTTATACATTAAAATTCTTCTTTTTTTCAAAATTTATCCTGCAAGTTTCATTTAGATAACACGTGATATCTGGAAGATGTTTCCGTTTCCGAATCATTTGCACATTATAGTCTATTTGGCACAACATCTTTTAGAATTTAAATTTATTGGCAATATCAGTGCAATTTTTTTTCCATACTGACGGCAATAGAATTAGATTCTTCTATTGGATGATTTGGACAGAGTGAATTCTTATTGGATGTCTATATAAAAATGTTTTAAAACTAGTAATTTATATACATGTACTAAACACAGTTATGTATTCAATCTTACTGTCTTTGAATAATCTTTCCACATCACTTTGGTGAAACTAGTATTTCTTCCAATTCATGGTCTTGCCAAAAGGAATCTAGTTGCATGCAAACTCAGGAAAAATGCAGTGGATAGAAAAAAACTAAAGCAGAATTCTGTAAATAATTTTTCAACTACATAAATTTTCTGCAATGATTATTTTCTTCAATTAGATTTATAAAGAACACAAATGAGCATTTATTAATTAAATGAGAGAAGAGTAGAGACCTTAGCTAAGTACCCACGAAAATCATTAGGGTAAGCAGATATGAGTTGATCACAAACAGCTACAGCATCACTAACATGGCCCCAATCTAAGTATGCTTTCCCTAGAAGTAATTCAACCTGAGAATTGTAGGATTATAAGAAAAACTATATATATGGAAAAAAATGAAGTATGTGATATGTACTATGAGAATTCTATATCTCAGAAAATCCTAAAATTTAAAAAAAAAAAATATATATATATATATATATATATATATATTCAGATGAAACTAACTAATTTTCCTCGTTGCCACAGCTACCCGTTTCACAAATGTTCTGAGATGACTTTTTTACCTTTCAGGGGTAATATTTAAAAAAAAAACAGAAAGGGGTAGTTTTCAAATAAATTACATATATATGTAAATATGTTTTAAAACATGATTTTAACTTCAAACTAATAATTAAAATCATGTTTTAATACACAACTTCAAGTTTTGTTTTAAAACACAATGTACTCATACCCCGTAACTATCCATTTGTGTGATACGTGAAAAAAAATTTACCCCTGAAATGTAAAAAACCCGTTGAAAGATATTATGTTATTAGTCATATTCTTTATGAGCTTGGAAAAAGTGCTGTGTTTGGCAACAGCAGCTGTCTGTTGATGGCAAATCTGTAGACGGAAGTAACATGGGGCTGCAATAAAGGAAGAAGCCTAGGGTTACCAAATGAACATTGTGAAGGTGCTCTTCTACAGTGGAGGCATCCTAATGTCACCACAATAATTGGCTTCGGGTTCATAACTTGAAATAAGTTAATAACTGAATGTTATCCACTGATTATTTTGTACAGGGAGATTATGAAAATACAGCTGAATAATTAATTTTAATCTGTTAATTGCAGGTAAAAAAAAAAAGGATTTGCCACCCTAATCAAGAAAAGGGAAATAAATACATGAAATAATTCTGAAATAAATGTATACAGAAATGAAATAAGGAAATAGATATCTCATGCTAGAATTGTACGAATTTACTTGAACAGGATCCAGCTTCTGTGAGTCTGATGGGTTGCTATTAGACTTTTTGCTTAAGTTTTCTGAACTCAGATCCTCACGAAAGGCCAAAAGAAATTGAACAGCCTGTTGAAGAAAGAATGGAAAAATAAAATGTTATTAATTCAAGTGTAAAATTAGTTATCCTTTATGAACAGAGTAACCATCCTCAAGACCCTCATGAAAAGGTGTACTTGATTGTACTTTTAGAAACACAAGTGCAAATTAACCATCATCAAGCAAAATAATAGATTTAATTTGTGCAGCACATTAATCTCAAGAATCCATTATCATGATAACAAACCTCTTCTGGCTTTTTGGCAGCAAGTAATGAATTGGTAAGTCCACGGAGAACTTCAAATTGGATATCTTTGGAAACCTGTCAGAGATCAACCATATTTTATGGATAATGCCTGATGGAAATATTAAGCTTTATTTGATCACTTAGAACTTGTAGATATAGCCTCCTCTGCCCCAGATTTCAAATTCTAGCTAAATAGGTTTGGGTGTATATATGTATTTACTAGGGAAACTAACAGGTGGACACAATCGATTATGGGACGTAAAGAACAAAAAATAATTCACAAAAACAGAAGATACATTAGATCATAATTTATCCCAAGTCCTAAAACAATTATCTACTTCCTGATGGTGTTTTATGACATTACTCTAAGATGTAGAAAATACTTACACTTGCGGAGCTTTTATATGCAGCAACACTCCCTTCATAATCTTTGAGTTCGTACTTAACTTCTCCAAGCAAACGAAAAACATCAGCATCATTAGGTTTTTCCTTGGAATTACACCAAAAAAATTCTCAATATCTATTCTAAAATCAAATAGCATGATTTTCATAACATATGAGAGACTTGTGTCCAATAAACATATATCTATAACTTCCCTAGGTAGGAGATTCTTTCCAACAGATGTATATGGAAATTCCAGGGGATATCCATGCTCAAAATAATACCTTTGTCAAATCATCAAGTAGAGAAGCAGCTCTTGCATATTCTCCTAGCTCAGCCAAAGTTACTGCAGCTCCCTGAAAGTCATTTAAAATGTATCTAGAAACACAGAAATCAGAAGAACAGAACTAGCATAAAAAACTTACTTCAAGAGCAGTTGGATCTCTTGGGGAAATACTTAATGTTGCTTCGAATTCCTTCAGCCTACTCTGCCATATATCACAAAGTATATTATAAATAACTCTGCGGTTTTGTCAGAATGTATAGAGATGAGATATGAAGGATCACATTAGACTGGAAAGGGGAAAGATGGTAACTTTGACATTGGACGAATAAGTTACACATAATAAATGTTAATACTCCCTAATGGAAGGAGTAAATACTCCAGGACGACTGAAAATTTATCTCAGAATCAAATAGAACAAGACCAAACAAAGCTAATTAATGACAAGCCTAGCTGATAGGTGTCAAATAATAGAATACGTATACTGTATTGTATTAATGCAAATCCCACGCCTATATCAAAGTGATAACAGGTTCTAGACGTTAAATAAAATGAAAGAACAAAGGGGGTATAGGCAATTCAAGAGTGGGAATCTCCCTAAAGTCCCAACTAATTTCCGCCTACCTCCCAACCCTTCTTGCCAGCTCAGCAGGTAGTTATATAGGAATTTATGACATTCTCTCTCAATAGCTATGATTTCCTATGTTACTCCCCTTTTTATCCTTTCGTACATACACCCTAGTTACTCTAGGGGTTTTACCGCTAGCTAAGTATGGAAAAATTAAGATACTGAAAATATTATCTGATACAGTAATTCTTAAACAGGAACTAATCACATTAAGTACTACTAACTTGATTACATAACTAGAACTGTTCATAATCTTCAAAAATAGATTATAAAATTTCTTTGTTCTGTGTGTGCACACCTGTGTTTATAGCATAAGTTCTTCAATGGTTACAATTACAATTTACAAGACCTGAAATCCATAGTTACTAGAAGAACTAAGCATATTTAAATTCCTGGTAGAGCATTGTTATAAAATCTCATTTTCTAAACATTACTTCTTTATATTTTGCAAGTGCGTGTAGTAAGCTTTACATTCGTATCTCTGATGGAAAAATAAAGCTGTCATATCCAAGCTAACTATATTTATTTTTCATTTTGCCTTATGTTAGCCTACTTACGATGAATAATGTTGAAAACAAAACAAAAGCAACAATAGACCAAATTCTAATCTACCACACTTTCCACTTTTCCACTACTGCATGACAAGAAACAATCTTAATTCAGTGAACTTTTGCATCATAAGGAAAGGATATAAGAGTGTACGACAAAAATAAATATGAAGAACACTGGTGCCTGACTATTTGCCAGAAGATAACAATAATTGCATGGAAATCATACCTGGAGAGTAGCTTTATCCTCCTCGGACAACTTACTATTGACCACAGCATTGTCATCAGTGGGACTAACACTGCAAGATATCCAATTTTTTAGGGTACAGAATGATTTCCCAATTTAAACTGTAAGCAAAACTAAAGGGCAATTAAATGAACATGACGGTGAGAGAAGATATGAATATCATTCATAATTATACGCAGCACAGAACAAAACATGGTTTACAATTCATGATGATGAATTTCTTGAACTATAAGCCTGATGGAAGATTTAATGGAAGTTGATAAGTCCGCTTAGTACAAGTTTTTTCCTAGTTTATTTGTAACAGCAATCTAACTAAGCTTATGAATGATTTAGATGTTAGCTTTGAGGTATAATCCTTTGCATAAAACAATAGGTTGAGCATTAAATCCATTCAAGCCCACTCAAAAAAGAAAGCCTAATTAGCTTGCTGTTTAAACAAGGCGTTTACAATAACAATGCTGAAAAAACACTCCACCCGAATCTAAAGATTATTTACCAATATTATTTTTGTAACACAGTTGAGAAGTTAATTTAAGTCATAACAACATTAAAACCTTTTTCAGATAAACAAGAGTAATTATGTAGTAAGGAGTGAGATACAGAAATAGGCAGTTCCAATAACTAACGATCTGGGTTACGTGCATGCATACCTTCCTGATGGAAGAAAATCTCCAAAAGCAAAAACCAGACCGAAGACTGCAACAGCTACCCCTACTCCAATCTGTGTATGATGATGGTTACACACAATTACACAGTTTCGATATAAAAGAAAACAGGGTTTTATGTGGTGGAAAGGAAAAAATTGTACCTTAGTAGGAAGGCCAATTGTCTTATCGTCGGAAGAAATTGGAGCATCATAGTCAATTGGTCCAAATTCTTTTTGCTCCTCTGCCTTCTTCTGCTCAAGTGCTGACCTAAGTAGTGTAGAAAAAGAACAACTGAGCATTGTTGGTTATAACTAGGAAGATTGAAATAGGTGTAAGTGTAAGGTGCACCTTCTAACTGTTTTTAGGCGTTCTTCAAAGTCAACATCCAAAAAATCGTTCCTAGATTTTCCGTCAGGTTGTGAATTTAACCGGGGTGCCTCTGCCCAAACGATAAGATTATTATTATTATATCAAAAGAAATGAAAGGTGAAAAGAAAAAAGGGGGTTAGCAGAACGTAAAGATATACAATTGAAATGCACTTACGAGAAGATAAAGGGCGAGACTGTTTAGGTGTTGATCCCTTGCCACTGCAACAATAGACAGACACAAAGGTAATGGCATGATAACGACATAATTCGTGAATTGTAAAACATGTTACTCATGAAATGACAAGACCTTTGCTGCGAGACGAAACCCTTGTCAGATTTGTTGGTCTGAGATAAAAATAACAGAAGAATGAATCGAAATGAAAGTGAAAAAGAAATGGAAATGAATTTGGAAATGGAGAAGAAACCTAACCTTAATCCTGTTAGAGTTTTCTCCAAAGCCACGGCTACCTTGCTTTGAATCGGAGCAATTTATTTGAAACCAAAACAAACCGCTGCTTCTGAGAGACATTGCATTTGCATTTGAAGTCCAAATACACACAGCGCGCGTAGACATATATGTGAGCTTAGCTTTTGTCCATTCTTGTCTTGTCAACTTGCAGCACAGCACACTTCTGATAACTAATATCTTATCTCAAATACTTCCTTATTTTCTACGTTTAATTGAAGAAATTTTTTTTATTACTTATTTAATTTTATTTCACCATTAACAAAAGTTTAAATTTGATTTTTTTTTTAATTTTTAAATTAATGTAATTCAATCCTGAATTCTTTTAATTGGTTAAACTTTATCATTTCCTTCTAACTCCATTTAACATTGTTATTATTACAATTTGTGAGAGTTTTACAGTGTTGCTAATTGAAAAACTGAAAAATTAGTCAAAAGTTTGAAAGTTGTAACTTAAAAGTATTTAATAAAAAATATCTTCTTAATGGAGGATACACACATCTCTCATGAGTTCATTCATAAGTCTAGCTGGTGAATGAAGTTGATGGTAGATTTGAGAGAGCTGTGTTATATGGCTAAATCATTCTAAAATTGGTACCTTTCTCAGCACACATGTACCACTGATTAGGGTGGAAAATCCAAAGGAGGTACCAAATTTTTACATCAGACTTCTCCAAAAAATAATTATGTCCTTTTAGTTGAAACATTTGAACAATGAGTTCAACTAATTATAACATGAGAAACTGATTAAGTAAGAAGAGAGTGGAGGTATTGTTGACTAAAATCTGATTTACATTGGACCAATGAAAAATATTTAATAAATATTTTATTTTATTTCTCAAAAAATCAAATCAACTTAAAATATTAGTTTTTTATTCTACATATAAATTTTTTAATTTGTTGAAATTTTTATTTTATATTATTTTAAATGTTATGATATTAGTTTCCATATGGCCAAATCATCAAAATTTGATTTAGTATATAGATCAATTTGATTTTAAAAATGTTAGGGAAAAAGCCTATACAAATGGTTTGAGAAAATCATAAAACACAAGGGAGCAATCAATAGAAAAACATCATTTGAACAAGCAGGACAAAAATAATAAAGATTAATGTTCATCAAAATTTTGTTTACTTAGCTTCTCTTGAAAATATGATTACAATAAGTATAAATACAATTAATTTTATTTTCTGTATAGTTAAGAATGAATAAATGTAATTACTCATATATCTTTTTAATGTATGTGATTAATATCTGTATACTCTTTGAATATACAGATATTAATCACATATTAAATTACATTTATAGAATAAAGAATAAAGTTATAAATCAGATGACTATATTTTAGAGATAGCTTTTATTCTTTATCGTGCCTTTTCCTATTGACCTAAATTTAACTTTAATACTGTTTGACATTTTTTAGTATAAAATAATAAAAAAAAAAGTAAAAGAAAAAAATGCTGACAGAGATTATTATCTCTGCCTATCTTTCAACTGGCATTAATTATGATGAAGAGAAAAGTTACCATCGTAATTTATTTAAGACGATTTTCCCTATTAAATGAAACTCGCACTAGTTGCACTTAATTATATAGATAATAATATAGTAGCCCTCTTCAGTAATTACATTTATTATTTAGCAGAATTCCCTGCATATATAATTTGATCTTCACTACCTCCGGGTACAGAAGGTATTGGAATAGAAAACACCTTCCTCTTACTAAATTTATTCTTACCTAAAAGGATATTTTAAAACAATTTATAATGATTATCTATTTTAAAAACAAAAATTTACTATAGTGCTTATGTTAGAATTAAAATAACCTTAGTTCATGTAATCATTAACAATTAACTTAACATTAACCTGGAGTTTATAAATCAATTTGCAATAGATGAGTGATCGTTATTGGTTGAAAGTAAGAGTTGCGGAGTGACAAATTTATTTGGAACATCTTCATTTGATTGGTTTTAGGTAGATGTACTGCGATTCCTTAATTTCATTTAACCGCACTGGATTTGGACAACAGGTGAACATCATCTAATTTTAAAACCCAAAGAATATAGGGTAATTTTTCTAATCACTATTTTTTTCCATATGTTCAGTCAACTAATATCTCTTATTATGATCAAGGACAAGAAAAATCATTGACTATGAATCAGGCTCGTCGATGTACATCATAGATTCATTCATACAACCTATCCCTATACCTTCCAAAATTAGCAAAATCAAAGTTGCAACTATGCTTCTTCTGGGATATCAACAACTCTCACAGGAAGATTGGAGCCATTACCAGTGTAATGGTTGCGAGCATCTTTATAAGAACATGGATTGAAGGACCAGCTGTGTCTTTGAATGGGTCTCCCACTCTGCCAAATTAGTCAAAATTTTCAAACATGTAAATTATTAACCCAGCATAGAATAAATCACAAAAAGGCTAACACTATTACCAAATCAGGCTAGGCTAGGCTAGGTGAAAGACTTATTAAAAGGATCAATAGTTGCAGTACATCATATCTACTATTCATTCCCAAACACAAACTATACAGGGTCCTAGTTATGAAAAGCATTATTCATGCTATCTCATACACTGTTTATCCAATGGGGTATATAGTTAGATTTGAGGTGGTGGTTGAGGAGGACTTGGAGGAAGTAAAAAGTAAAAATATAGTTCCAAAGATAGTGCAAGCACTGGGGGCAATGCCATTAAGGAGCTTGTTGAAACAGTGACAATGGATTGGCAGCGGCAGGTGGCTTGGCATGGTTGCAAGTAGGGGAAAACATTACCATGTGCAACATAATGACAGGGTGAAGGGGAATGTAGGAGGCGGTGTTAATGAAAGGGGAAGCATAAGAGAGTATGAAACTTCTCTTGATGATTGACGCCACAGGTCAGAGTCACAATGGCAATCATGGCATTGCACAGACACAAACAGAATAACCATTGCTGCCTATACAAAACGGAAAAAAAAATGAACCAAGAGTATATTTATTATAATCAACACCAACCCAGTGTAAATTGCCGAATATTTTACAAGCAACCACAAACAACATTCCAGATATAAGGAAAAAAAACCTATTTATTACTATAAGGGAACAGAAAACCCAGCAAAAGTAGCATAAGCAAGCAGTAACTTACGTATCTCCAGTTACGGCTGCTTTGTGAGCTTCACTTCCCTTCCCTCCAAGAGCTCCAGTCTCAATGTATTTCTTTGCATTATCCCAGGCACCACCAGCTGTGTTCAGAAAAAGTGCCATAAGAATACCAGACACTGTTGCAAACATGAGCAATGCAGCCACAACTTTAGCCCCGAGTAAAGGTTGCCCTGTATAGTAGCCCAAAATTCGGAAGATAAACCCTGCATGTGACAGAAAAATATAATTTAGTAAAGTCTGCATGGCAAAATAAAATAAAATTCATATCATATAAATATAAGAATAACGGATCACTAATCAGGTTGTCCCAACAAAGAAAAAGGTCAAACAGACAGCTAATTCCCAGGCCTTTTTTCTCAAAAGTTTGGCCTAGATTTTTTTGGAAAGACATAATTTGAGAGACGAGTTTCGGGGCTCAAGGAATAATTATTCACTACTACCAACAAACTAATGCAACAATTAAAGGTGTAAGCGAGGCAGAACTTGGTTTGAAAACAAAACATTCAAATATATAGGTTTAATATATGAGAGATACAAGAAATCCCCAAAACAAGTTCATGGGATTAAAAGCCTATCTAGCAATTATGTTTGTCAGACGATTATAATACAAAAAATATTAGCATTACTGTGCCATCTCCCAAGGTTTCATTAATGATAATACATGAGCAGATGAGCAACTGAAAGTTAACCCACCAACTACAATAGGGGAAACGATTGCCAAAGCACCAGGTTTTATCATCTCTCTTAATGATGCAGATGCTACAATAGCAACACAGCGACCATAATCTGGTTTTTCCTTGTAATCCTGTCAAAAGTATAAACAGGAAAAAAAGAGAATATCAAAACCTAAACAGCATAGATAACATTACTTTACAAACATAAACTCACCATTATACCAGGCCTCTCAATGAACTGCCTTCGCACTTCATTAACAACCTCTTGTGCAGTTCTGCCAACAGCAGAACAAGCCCAAGCACTAAAGACAAATATAAGCATGGAACCTAGCAAACCACCAACAAAAACCTCGGGAATTGCAATATCAACCTGTAACCCAATCATAAGTTGCAGTTAGAAGAACCAGTGAAGTGATATCTGTTGAGATGAGACAGAGTAATAGAAATAATAATAATAGAATAATCACGGTGGTGTCTTAAATATGTTAAAAAGTGCACGCATTTTTGTTTTAGTCCTTAAATATTTAATCTTTCAAACAAGTCCTTATAAAAGCAATTTCTTCCCAATGCAGTCGTTAAATTTTCATCAAGCTTGAACGTTATCTTCTTGTGTAGATATCCATTGGCCACACTAGACATATTCAATGTATGTTGGAATAGATGTGGTAGGTTGTAACAAAATTTTCTTCCTAGATCTAGTTTAATAGCTCTGAACCCAAATTTTAGACGAATGGAATGGACAGAATTGGGCTAGAGGCTATGACTGTCACAACTGCAGTGTGATGAGAAATTGAAAACTACAGGTGAAAGACACCAGTGGGGAACACTTGGTTGGAGGAAGTACTTCTGTAGCATATGCATTTCACCATGTGATGCATGCAGGCATTAGCTAATATCTTGAAGTCCAACAGAAGTTTCCAACCGGAGGAGTTGATCTCAACATGTGAATTTGATGAATTTGAGTGCCATGTTTTCCTACTGCCCTCATTCTTAAATTTTTCTCTATAATTCCATCGAAGAACTAAACAAGGAAATGCAAAAATCCAAATTGTCATTGGATGTTTTTCTTTAATGTTATTATGTAAGTCATGTCAGTTGGATTGGGCGCTACATTACAACTTGAAATCAAGTTTTGCAAATCTTTTTACTTAAGAGTGTAACAGCCTCCTAGGAGCTATAATTTGATTGTGACTTGGTTCACCTAGTCTTTCCAGTTAGACAATTGATGCAACCTATAACAATCTTCTCCCTTAACAATTATCCCCTTGGGAATCCCATTGTTTATGATTTCGCCTACCTAACCTCTTTCACAGGAAAATTGATGTAACTTGCAACAATGTCTACCAACAAACCATCGATCCATAAATCTTCCTTACTAGTTTTGCCTGTACTTTTTCCCAGTCTTCATTTGCCTCTAGGTCCACTTGATCAAGTCCTAACTGGGGATTCTAGGCATCTTCTCTATGCATGCTCAAACCACCTAAGGCATGACTCTTCCATTTTTTTTCTATAATAGGTGCTACCCCAACTTTTTCTCTAACGGGTTAATTTCTAATCATGTCTTGTATATAATATATCCACTTTTCTAACACAACTCTCATCTATCTATTTTTTATTCTCATTGACATTTTACCAAACAACATTTAATAAGTCTTTATATTATGCAGAAAAATTTCCCCTTAAACTTGGGCGTCACCTTTTTTATCAGAAATTGCACTCAAAACACTCCTATCCTCCATTCCTTCACTGTTGAATCCTACAGTTTATGCCACCCTCTATTTCTCTGTTGTTTCGTTTGATGGACCTAGGATACTTGAAACATGTTACATGTGCTATGGTCTCCAATTTCCACCTATAAACTGGGAACCCCCTTCCCCCCTCCCAAAAAAAAACAGCATGAAATATAATAGGGACCTAAATAAATTTAAGCTTAATTAGATAGGAGCAAGTCCTGCACACCTGTTTAAAAGGTTCATGAGCTAAAGCAGAAACCTCGTCCATATACGCACTAAACAAAAGGAAAGATGCAAGAGCGGCAGAACCAATAGCAAATCCTTTGGTGGTAGCTTTGGTCGTGTTTCCTACTGCATCAAGGACATCTGTTATCTCCCGGACACTTTCAGGCTGAAAACAGGTTGATTGTCAGCACACATAACATGAGAAATCTCATAACACTATAGACCAATTATTCTCGCAATAACTACCTGCTGACTCATCTCCACAATTCCTCCAGCATTATCAGCTATTGGGCCAAACATATCCATAGTAAGAATATAGGCAGCAGTGCTTAGCATTCCCATTGTCGCTACAGCTGTGCCAAACAACCCACCAGTTGGATTTCCTGCTTCATCTACTAGTCCAGAGGTGTGGCCCAGCCAGAAAGCTGAGACAATTGACACACTGATTACAAGGACAGGAAGAGCAGTAGATTCCAGACCCAAACTGACTCCAGCAATTATATTAGTCCCATGTCCAGTGGAGCTGGAAAGGGCTAATATGCGCACCGGCTCATGCTTGTAGTCAGTATAATACTTGGCAATCCAGACAAATATGTACGCAGTGATGATACCAATCAACCCACACAAGGCAAAATTGAACCATGCAGAAGGTGCTTGCTCAGTGTAAAGTAACCACCGGGTAGACTGCAAAAGTAAAAAAAAAAAAAAAAATTTAAGTGTAACCAAAGTTTGGAAAAGAATGAAGATATGTTAATTTAGCCCTAATTGACAATTACAGATTTCAAAGTCAACGAAGTTCAGCAAATTGAAACAACGAATACTTGGACAAACCAGAAAGTATAGAGGTCAAATTAAAAGAACGCGAATGAAGATTAACTTTACCAAACCAAATGCCAGAACAGCTAAAACTATCGTATAAGAATATCCTTTTTGAAGAATTGTCATAGGATCCTCCACAGGAACCATTACTCCAGTTTCGCGTGTACCCCGAATAGAAAATATTCCAATTGATGAAACTACCAAATCAAATGAGTGAACAACAAGAGGAAACAAGATGAAGCCCGATGGATCTGAATCAAAAGAGTAAACATCATATTAGATGGGCATGCATACAAGTCAGAAAAAAAGTAAGCAAGAAAGGGACAAAATAGGGGAACTAAAGTATTTGCCTGCAATTTTACAACGTTGTGCCATTGTTCCACCAAGTATCATAGCACTGATTATTTCAGCTGCAATACTTTCAAAAAGATCAGCACCTCGAGCAGCACAATCTCCCACATTGTCCCCAACCTTAAAATCAATTCAAAACAAATATGGTACCAATAGAAGCACAAGTTCAGAAAGAAAGTATAGGCAGAAAGAAACAAAGACACAAATCAAGGAAATAATAAACATTAAACAGTTCTTCCCATTGAGCTGATGTAATTCTACATGTATCAATCAATTTTACAAAAAGAAAAAATAAAAACCCAGTATGTTTATATCAACCAGTTAATAACGTTTTTCATAAAAAATTCATAACAATATTTTCATTATTCTCTTACTGTCTATGTTTGAGCTATATATTTAAAAGAAATTGGAACAGGCACCTGAATGCACTTTGTTCTCTATTTATTTGAATAATTTTGTAAAACCAGAAATGATCATAAAATTTGGAGAATCTCACAAGTCTCTGACAAATAAAACATAAATGCAAATATCCAGATCTTAGGAAACATAGAATCAGAGAACACCCTCAATAGGTTTGAGTTATACAGTTGACTCATGGATGGTAAAATATATTTATTCTCTTGTGTTTCCATCTTTCACCATGAAAAACATTGATGTAATTAAAAAATGAATCATTGAAAGCATGCATACTTCTAAAATCCAAGATAAAATCTTATTTCAATATCATTTCCCCAAATATCCAGCAGCCCGAAGAACATTAACAGAGTGTTTGATTTCAGTTAGAAACTGTCAAATGAATGTTCAACTCAATCCTTCCTCTCATGTTTTTCCATTAAACTGACTTGGAATGTGTGCAAACAATAGATCAAACACACACACCACTAAGTAGTAATCTACTGAAACCCAGATGAAACAATAAACAAATTTTAGTGTGTAGACTCATTGAAACAAAGTAAACAAATATAAAACAATTACCAGATCAGCAATAACAGCAGGATTCCTAGGGTCATCTTCAGGTATTCCCTGTTCTACTTTTCCAACAAGATCTGCTCCAACATCAGCTGCTTTTGTGTATATTCCACCACCCAACTGAGCAAATAGAGCAACAAACGAGGCACCAAATCCATATCCAACTAGAAGAAGAGGTACTGAGGGAAAACAACAATGTTCAAAAATCAATGACCAAGTAGAGAGAGACAGGTGAGGTAATGGACAAAAAAAAAATCCAGCCATAGTGAAATAGACAATCAATGTACCTTAATAATTGTGACCATATCAATCAGCTAAAACTTATTTCAGTCAATTTAATTATTGGTCTTTGGTTCAATATGAGCCAAATGGGAACATTTAGTGGGAAAAAAGGGACATAAATTTCTTGACTTTGTATATCAAGAAATCATTTATGACCTCAATCAAACCTCACCCAAGTTTACCACCTTATCTCTCTTTTTTGTTTTCAGTTTACAAATGAACACAAATTAAAACTCACCAACATGAAAAACTAGCTTGAAAAGATAATGATGAAACATAAAAAGCACCCACTCATGCATGTTCAATAATAAAATATTCAAATTTCAGACACTAAAACAATTGTATTTTTTATGAAAGTCGGGGAGAAGTCTACACATACAATCAGTAACCTTCATTGAACCAGGTGAGTCCACTCCCAACCAAACATAAAACGTGGCATAAAGCACCGCTATACCAATTACAGCCATTCCAACAACAATGATCGCAGATAAACCACCTGCACGAGTGGCAACCTGTGCAAATTCCGTCCAGTTAAAACACAGATAATGAATAGTTCATAGTTTTCACAGAAACTGACAATGAACTAATGATGTTTTAACCTGCAATGCCTCTCTTGCAGACCGTCTTGCAGCACTAGAAACTCTGACATTGGCACGAACTGACACCCACATGCCTACATATCCAGCAATACCCGAACAAATGGCACCTAAAAGGAAAGCAGCTACAGTAATGTATGCAGAAGTTGACCTGAAACAGGATGAAAATGACGGCTAAGAACAAGTACAAAAAAATTAACAGCATATATATTTTATGACATCACCTTCCAAGACCAGAAGATTCTTGTTGAGGAGTTGTACTGCGAAACAAATATATGCATAAAATGACAACAGCAAGGAACATGGCCATCTTGGATATACTCCCATACTGGGTCCTGAAAAATCCTTCAGCTCCATCTCGTATAGCATCTGCTATCTAGAAAGCAATATGATAAGCTCAGGACAAGTAAACAAGGGTTCATGGAGATGCGATCCAATTATCAATCAATCCTCATAAAAGGCACTATGATGTATAATAACTTAACAGTCAAACCGTTTTTGTGAATTAAACCAAATGGTTCCACAAATCAGGTTCTTTGCAAGAAAGCATAGTAACAAAAAGTTTCAAAATCTCGCTAGAATTATGTTTATAAAAAAAATATCTTGGTATGTCTTATATTTCAAGATATGCTCTCACTTAAGATTTTTCATCAATCATAAAAAGACAAACAGTATCCATTAACAGCAATCTTGAAATTAATCAAAACTAAATTTTGGTCCCCTAGACCTAACAATGCTTTTCATCTTCCGCTTTACAAAAAGAATACCTTTACATTGTGGTCCCTACATGAAACATTCTTTACAAATCAATTCCTACCATTTGCTAGGGTTATTAACCATGTTAGAATTGTTCATGAAGGAGACCAAATTGAAAAACATTACGTCGTAGAACCCAAACTGTAGAAAATTTTCTGGCATAATACATGGAAACTCTGGTTAAGAAAAATTGCAGGAATCACTAAATACATACTGATTTGGATGGGGACCAACAATAAGTGCTCTTTGACTCTCTTTTCACAAGGAAAGTAGGAAGAGAGACTAGGGATGTGACCAAAGAGTTGTTTACTTTCAAGTTGACACCCCAACAATCAAGCAGTACCTCACTAGGTGAGGTTGGCCACATTGATCAACCAACACCATTGGACTCTATTATAAACAATTTTCCAGTAATATTATTTACACTTTGTTGTCTTTTTAATGATTTTTCCTAAAAACCAACAAAGGCTACACCAATAGCCATTATAATCAGACTATCTTCATATGATCCTCTTTTCTCACTAGAGTGTCTATTGGTATTCTTCTCACATGACCGATCCACCTTAGGCAAGTTTGAATCATCATCAATCTATACATGCTACTTTATTTCAAGCCCTCTTACCCAAATCAAATTATCAATGAAATCTTAGAAAAGTGAAACCAATAATCACAAAAACGTGCTATTTCACACACAAAAGAAAAAAAGGTTCCCCCCCCTGAGGAGTATATGCTTCTGCAAGAATCACATAGGGTAGACCGATACAATAAAATTTTCTGGCAAAATACCCACCAGTATGAAAGGTTACAAATGATGTGGCAATACTATTTCATCTCAACCTCTCACATGGGACTCAGTTCTTAGAATTTGGGCTTTCATTGCCCATACCTCAGGACAAAGTGAGATCCTAACACACCTTTCATGCCAACACTGGACATTCGTGGCATGGATATATATATATATATATATATATATATATATATATATATGCAAGCAGCCCAATGACTACATGCCCTTATGCTTAGGCATATACATCTAGTACATAAGCAAATACTGGTGGTCCATTATTGGGTTTCAATACTATCTTATAATGAGTTTAGGACCTATCTTAATTACACATAACTGACTTGTAAGATGAGGACCACCTAAACTTTATAAGGACTACATTGTTCATATGTATAATTGACGTATGATTTCAACCACAGAAATAGTTGCTCCATGACATTCAAATGTCATGGTGTAGAAAGTCTCTATAGTAATATTGATTTCCTAAAACCAAATTGCTGAAATTAAGAATGTGTGTGTGGGTGGGGGGAGCTGGATAGCACTTGAGAGATTGCAGTGAGTGTAGGAAATGAAATTACCTGAACCATTTCAGGAGGCCCTTCATCTTTTGCGAGCACCCACTTTACAAGATAGATGGCAACAAGGAAGCTGAAAATGCAAACAGAGATGACAAACACAATGATCGGAGAGGTACTGGCTCCCACGTAAAAGATAGCACCCAGTCCGAGGAGCAAAAGAATGAACAAGACACGAACATTTATACCAAGCAGAATCCGAAATATCTGCAGAAATGCGAAAAGGGGGATTACACAGTTGAGAAGTTGCAGAAAGTCGAGGGGAAGGGATATGCTTTCAAGATAGATAGATAAAGAAGTGAGTATTTTTGAGTAAAGAACGAGGGGTTATATTATTGTAGTTCAAGAACAAACCAGAGGGGTGTAAGGTTTAGTGCGCATGTTGGGGAAGATTCTGGGCTTGTCCTGGTAAGCCCCCACACCCAAAGTACCGGCCTCCATATCATCGTCCATCATTATAGAATGGGTGGAACTCACCCTCCGTACTACAGGATAAGGGTTGAACTCACCACCTCCTTGGGGCAATTCAGCCCCCGAACCCGGTCGCTGAATTTTGAATTGCCTTTTCAAACACCCAAACAATGATCCACGTTTTCCAAGGGAATCAAACTGCAACGCCTTCTTTCTCCTTCCCCTCCGCAGCCGCAACTAGTGTTAGTGTTCAGACTGCCCAAAATTAAATACAAAAATGATTTATTATATGACTGAATAATGCAGTATTACCTAACTAACTAAGATGGATTTAGATCCCATCCAAATGCTTATGCTACGATTAGATTTGGTATTCAATGGGAATAGATCCGCATCGGCATCTGGAATGGGATCTGACTGAAAACGTAAATTGAAATCGCAGATCTAATGCTTACGGATTGTTTGTGGGGAAGAATCGGTCGCAATTGGGCGTCGTTTTTCTGTGCCCACAGCCACCGCCACAGAGCGGAACCTCTTCCTCTTCTTCCACAGAAAGGAAGGGCAAATTCAAAGAGTAGAGAGTGTGCCTGTGAGAGCGAACACACAACAAAAACTACACAGCCCAACCCAACCAATCGATCAAATGAAATCAAATATACTTCTATACTAACTATTTCAATTTCACTTTCACCATCTTTTTTTCTTCTTTCCTCCAATTCTTAATTTACATTTATAGCCACTCTCTTGTTAACATGTCAGAGATATCCAATAATCTTGCGACACCTCATCATAACTGCATTCTAATTGGCTGCTCCTATCAAATAAATATATTAACACCTATTACCATCTGCATTTCTTTCTTGCATTTGGTACGCTTGTATTAATAAATACAAATTGATTATTAAAATTTAATATAAATATATTTGTAATAAATCTAAATTTTATTTTTGTTTCCTTAGTCATTATGTTAAGGATAATATTTGACAAAATCATATTTATTAGTGATGATAAATTAATATAATTTTATTCGACTTATTTCATATCTTTTAACTTTTCTAAATTAATAATCCACTAAAAAATAATTTATAAATACCACATATCACGATGCAACGATTTTTTTACAAGCAAATAATTAAAAAGTATTATAGAAGTTAAACCATTATTATTATTATTATTATTATTATTATTATTATTATTAGAAACATAAATAATATAACGTGTCTATATTTTTTTTATAAAGAATTTTTGAAAATATTATTTTAAATATTTTTATTTTTTTTATTTGTAAATATATTTATTTTTATATTTTTATTATTTTGTAAATACATAAATCATTATAATAATTTATTTAAAAATTATAACACTTTTATTTTACAAAATAATTTTTTATATATAGAAAAAAACTAATTAAATTTGGCGTTGTAATAAAACTTTATTAAAATATTTAAATATTTAGTACAACAATAAAAGATATTATATATAAAATAAATGGAGAATAAATTTTGATGTATTAAGAAATTAGCGTACCTGATAATACAGTAAATATTAATAAAATGTTTTTCCATATAGAAATGTAAAGGATTTGATTTTCTTTTAAAAAAATAGTTTTTGTTTAACTTAATTTAACGTGTCAACATAATTATCATTGTAGTTGTTCTGTTACTAACTGACTATCTTTTTGAAAGATATTTTCAAATTATTTTACATTCCTACCATGTTATAAAATTTGTAAAAATATTTATTTTAAATAAAATCTAAACAAAATTACACCATAAAAAAATAGTAATGATAAATTTAATCTTTTAAATAAATAAATTATACCACATAATATAAATTTAAATAAAGATAACTTATTTAAAAACATTTTTAACTTCTTAAATTATATAAAATCCACTCCGTTAATAATGATTAGGAGGAATCTCATTTTATATGTGGCATAGTTTGGATATTCACATGAGATTTTCTTTTTACCATACCTACACATAAAAAAGTTATAAAGAAATATTATTCTTTGTTCTTTGAAATTAAGAAATTTCAAACACAAATATCGCGAGCTATCAAATAATTTTGTCAAGTCTAATATTTGCGAGTATTCTGGTTCTTAAATGTAAGTAAACATTGTCACTTAAATTACATAGCTTCTTAAATTTTGAATTAAAGTAATCAACAAATTTAGATATTTTTCTTACTTCTAAAGACTATAATGACAATTTTTCTACGTTTTCAAACAGTTGGACGGCGTTTTTTATCGTTAAAAATAGTAATTGAGCATCCAAAATTTCATTACATCTTCTAATTTTCTTTGTTACAAATATTTTTTTGGACCGCGCAATATTTTTTCCCTCGTACAACTTTATCTTTAAAGATATATCATTTACTTCATTAATGAATCGATTCTTATTATACTAAAGATTCAATTATATCTCTAAACATAAATAGATATACAACAATTTGTTTTTAATATAATTAAAAATATTTAAATGAATAATTAAATTTTGAAGTTCAAAATAAAAAAGATAACAAATTTTATCGATACTATATTTGTTGTGCTAGTACCGTCAAAATTAGGATAAACTTTTTAGACCTATTATATAAATAGCTTAATGTGAAAAAAGAACGATTTGATAAATTTTTAAGTTAATGTAATAATAATAAAACTATTTATATTTATATTTCTCCTTTTTTACTCACTTATTCATGGATTGTTGGTTGGTTATTTATTTAAAATGAGTTATCAAAATATCATTTTCCTTTATTTAAACAGCTCTTAAAGTTTTTATATAAAATGAACGCATTTATGTTTTAAAAAATTGTTTCTGAAATAAATGTGTGTTTAAATTGTATTAATTTAAAAACATTTATTTTAAATTTAATCGAAGTGAGAGTGTATCTTACATAATATCAGTAATACAGTTGGGAAAAATCTTTTAATACGTTATAAGGAAGAAAGAAAAAAAAAAAAAAAAAGAAGGAGTTATTTAATATGATTATATTTTATACAAAATGATGCATAGAATATTTACATGACAAAAACATGATCATCCTGTTCGAAGTGGGAATTACTCATCATCGGCGCCTGGGTCTGTAGAAGCGATAGAGATGTTGAGGAAAGTAGAGAAACGGAGAAGAGAGAGAGAGAGAGAGAGAGAGTATTGATGTTTAGTTACCTTGTTTTGGTTGGTCTGTGGTTGGCGTTGATGGGGTTGATGGGGTTCCAGAGTGTTGAGACATGGGTTCGCTGAGAACGTCCTGGTCCTGGGAGGAATGATGATGGCGATGTAGGGCAAAGTCTCTCAACAGCTGGAGGTGAGGGAGGAGGACGGTGGCAAGGTCAGGGCGGTCCCTCCGCCGGAGTTGTGCGCAATGGAGAGCCAAGTTGGCAAGGGAGAGGGCCTGTGGGAGGGGCCAGTCCGGGACGGATGGGTCCAGAATTTGAGAAAAGGAGTCATGCTGAATGGACTCATCCACAAGGTGGGCCAGGCCCATGGCCCGCCTGCCTGTCAATAGCTGAAGAAGAATGATCCCCAGAGAATACACGTCAGACTTCACCCCCAGCATTCCGGTCTGCTGGTATTCCGGGTCGATGTAGCAGAAGGTTCCTGCTGCGGCAGTCATGCGGCACTGCGTCACATTCTCCGCCACTGCTTCCGGCACAAGCCTCGCGAGTCCCACATCGCTTATCTTGCTCACGTAATTGTGGTCCAGCAATATATTTGCTGGCTTCAGGTCTCTGTGCACCAGCGGTTCAGGCTTTGTCTGGTGCAGGAACAGCAGTCCCGCCGCTATCTCTGCCGCTATCTTAAACCTGAGCTCCCAACCCATGGCTTCTTCCTCCTCTCTAAATAGGCATTCCTCCAAACTTCCGTTCGCCATGTATTCGTATATCAGCACTCCCTCCTCTGGACACGCTCCTACAAGAAGCACCATGTTGGGATGCCTCATGCTCCCAAGTATGTTTACCTGCGTTATTAATTTAGTATCAAACCGTTCATTCAATACAACCACTATCATCTTTTCATTCATTCATTCATCCATTTTTCAATTCAATGACAAAATAGTGGTTTAGAATTACTCATTTCCACTGGTTGGTCACCTCTTGCTGAAACTGCGACTTCCCCTGTGCGGAACCTGGGCGAAGAACCTTCACGGCCACTTCAGTGTTATCAAGGTAACACCTGTAGACAGGGCCATACCCCCCTTCCCCTATTTTCTGAGATTCCGAGAACATGTTTGTGGCCTTTTCAATTTCCTCCATTGTGTATGTCCTGTATCCATTATCTATCTCGGCTACATTTTCCAACGTTTCTGCTCTTTTATTTGTTTCCATCCTTGCAATTGTCTTCGTCGCTTCAGCTGTTTCTCTCGCTAGATTACTTCTTCCTTTCTCTTTCCCTGCAATTGCGTCTGCTGCTTCGTGGGACAGCCGTGCCTCCTCTAATTTCTTTTCTTCCTCCATTTTCCAGCTGTGCATTTCCCCTAACTGTTCCATACACCATTACTCTCTCTATTACCATTGCATTCTCCTCCCATCCCTAATCTCAATAACATCATTACCGTATACACATACCTTCTGTTGCGCTGTTAGTGCTTCTTTGCATGCAGCACTGTACATTTCCATTGTTTGCTTTAACTCCAGCTTCAACCTCCTCATATCAGCTTCTACTTCGTCCTGAATAAGGATTGATCAGCACCTCTAAATTAATGCATACTTGCACTTAAGCATAGTTTATTGAATTCAGTGTTCTAGTTACCAGATTCTGGATATCCACCATTAAAAAACATCACATCCTATTCTATCCTGTACGTACTTGAAAAATAAAAGAAGAAAGTTCTCACAATGTTTTGTAACGAACTAGAAAATGATGAACGGCTGCTTTCCTCTGAAAATGAAAGGTCCGGTGAATTGGGGTCAGTGTGCTTGAGTTTCATCCATGTTGACCCCATGCTACGATCTGAGCTGGTTGAAGTTCGTGAATTTCGGCCATGATCACCATACTCATAGAAAACTGAGGTTGAGCGTACACTGCTGGGCCTACCAGAGCTCACAAATGATATGTCAGTGTCAGATTCGGCGTAGTCTATGCCTGATCTTCCACTCAGCCCAAATTTTCTGCCAAATTGTGTCTTGCTTCAATAATGGATTGGACAATAAAAGATTAATGTAAGTATTACTGTGTCATAAATAATCTCATAGTCATATGAAATGGCTTCAAGAGGTAACCTACTTCATGGATTCACCCTGCCAAGTGGACTGCCTGAGTGCTACCCTGGTGTCTGCAGCAATAGCATGCATGTATGCAAGGAAATATGTGATTTCATCAGAGCATGATGATCAAAACGAGCTTAGTTTAAAGAAACAAACCTTTGAAGCTCAAACGTCTAGAAGATACATCAGATTCATTTCCATTCTCATCATTTTGAGTCTCTATATGCCTCAGCAGTGGGGAGGCATGTGAGGCCTTTCGAGCAGCATTCCGAACCGAAGAGATTTTCCCCTTAGAAATGATATACACACTACAGAAATCGGGCACCCCCTTTAATATGCTGTTTGGTGTACTACTTGACTTGAATCTGGATTCAGTTGAATGTAGAAATGTATGCATTAATCACCATGCATGCATACATACTAGATTGCTCCTGTCCTGTCCGCTATTATTGAAATTCCAAATAGCTAATTTTGTTGGACCTTACCTAATAAAGCCATGCTTGGAGGCTGCACCAAGCACCAAATGCTCAATTGCAGCATGAGAGACATATTCAGTTATTCCTCTCACGATGTCCATGTCTTCAATAACGACATCAAGGCATTGTATCTGATAAAATAAATATTTAGCAGCGAGCAGCTTGGAAAGAAAAAGTAACAGGTTTTCATAGACATATATACATACATACATCTTTGCGTGTACAATAGCAATGAAAGGTGCAAAATAGCTCCTTCGTAATGTTGACAAGTTTGTCTCTCTGGGGAGATGCAGTTGGGCAGTTGGTGTTGCACACTATGGCTTGGCTGCCTCCTAATCATGTTTACATTTGAAAAGTGAGAAGAGTTGGAGTTGAATGAATGATTATTGCTAATAAAAGAGGTTGTTGGTTGTTTTTATGATTGAGGTTGTGAATGTAGAACTTCTCACTATATGTAATTAACTGATTCTATGGCTTTAATATTTGTAAGAAGAATGATATATTGACACCCACTATTTTCAGATAAACTGATGTTTATGAAGGTTGATGAATTACTGGAAAGAGATGAGGAGGTTGGATACAAAACGTGGATTAGAACAAGAATTTGGCCTCTGGAAAGAAGAGTATCAGCAGCCCATTTGACAGCGTTTCGGCTCCTTTTATCATCCTTTTCTACAGCAACAGCCACCAATCCATTTCCACCTCCCCATTTATGTATTGATGCCTTTGTACTGGCAAGCCTCATTTATCTATTTTTCTTTTCCCTCAACTCTGCAACAACTTTTTCCAATTACTTACTTCATCTGCATAGTTAATCTGCTGCGCCTTGTAGGTTTCTCGATCTTCAACATTCCCTGGCTAATAATAAAAAATATGATACCCCCAAACTGGAAAACCATTTCTAGAAAACTATCCCCCATTTCATGGATAGTCAACCATATTTTTCTTCTCCTCCTATTATGGGCCAACAGAAAAAAACATAAAAATAACAGGTTTTTTGTTTTTCCAAAAATAGGAACACTCTGTCCCCTAATATTTGTGTCTGTCTGCGAAATAAAGGCCCAAAGAAAAATCACTATTGTATTGTCTAGCTAACATCAACTAGGCAAATCCTGTAACTGAGTCAAAGGTCTAAGGATAAACCAACCAAATTTAGCGAGCAACAGCCTCTTTATCCACTGACTTCTTCACATCAGGTTTCAATAATCAATTTTTCTATGCATTGACTTCTTCGCATTTGGTTTCAATAATAATTTTTTCTCTAAATTAGTCCCATACAGTTCCACTCAGTGTAGAAATTTTGGTATTTTATAATCAATTTTTCCCTATAACTTCGATTTAATGTAATTTATTAATTAATTCTCGCTTAATTTTTCAGGAATAACAAAAATGAATAATCATCATATTATAATTAATCCTTCTAGTAGAGTATACCTTTTTTTCTTCTTTTATTTGTATTTTTGGCTATACTTTTATTTTAAAAATAGATTAAGATTTCAATGTTTTATAATAGAAAAAAGTTAGTAGAATTTAAAATCTTTTTAAAATTAATATAATATAATTTTCAATCTATTATTCAAAATTTACAATTTTGCAATTCATTAGGGGTAAGTCATGTTTGTAATTAAATGAATTTCTTGGTCTAAGTCTAACAACTAAAAATTATGTTAAATATTTTCCATATATACAATTAGAGATAAAATGTGATTAACAAGTTTAAGAAACTTAATTTTTGACAAATTATACAAAATTTTGTTAGTTATAATGAAATAAATTGAAACGTAAATATAATATTCCATGATTCTGATATAATTTTATATATGGACGTACGGTGATGAGAACCCCCATAGTAGTAGTAAAGAGGAAAAAAACGAAATAGACCTTATTTTAGAACTTAATGAAAAAACGATTTTACATCCATAAATAAATAAATGAAAAAAAAATGATGTGATTTGCAGGTTTCGCCAGGAAAAAAAATACTTTTCAAAACATGAAAGACACTCACAATTACAGCGTGACGAGGAAATTTTATAAATTGTGTTGTGAAGATGTTTTTCATTCATTCTACTTGAAGAATTAATCATCTTAAAATTTTCAAGTGTTATATCCTTTTAAAGTACTTTAAATTAAAAAACATGACTTAACTTTTTAAACATATTTAAATAAGTCATTTTAAAGGCTAAAAAAACGATACATTTGTTAACAAATTTAAAATGAATAATTTACTGAAATAAATACCTTAACATGAACATTGTTTTCTTTTTTATTTGAACCTCCACCAAATCTGGTCACATCCATTTTAGAAAAAGTGATAGGTTGAGTCTAGTAGAGTTAAAAAAAAAAGCACTTTAAGGACTCATTTAATACTATTTTGTTCTTATGATTTAAGTTAAGATGATGTCATTTTGATAGTTTAATTTCATGGTATCCCTATTTAATATAGGTTCTATATTGCTTTTTGAGCATTTATAAAAAATGAATTATGTCAATAACAATTTTATCTTCGCCATAAGCCCTTTAATGCAAGTGATTAGTATTATATTATAATAGTTATAATTTTGCAAACTAACATTGTAGTGTTTTAGTTCCTGTTACACCTACAATTTCCCTTTGTATGGATTGTTGGATTCATTTAGTTCATCTAACATAGTTTCATCTCAGTCGTTTATGCAGATCCTCAATGGATTGAGTGACAAATGATAGTTGGGGCTAATTGGACCCAGAAAACAAAAAAATTATGTTAGTTAAGGATTTCAGAAAATGAGATTAGGATGTTATCTACTTTTTCAATGTTATTTTATTTTAATTACTAAGGTTTGGATGATGCTACTTACATGATTGTTATTTGTTGTGGATCCTTTTAGTGTATGCTTGCATTATTTATTGAACATCAAAGAAAAATGAATTATCTAGTAACATTTTTATGTACTTCATACCCCTCTAATGATAGATGCATATTATTCTAGTAAAAAAAATTTTGCATCTTAGTAAGAACATTGAAGAACATCTATACATATACAATCCAACATGAAATTAAAAAAAAAAAAAAATGCACCGATATATTTAGGAAATAAACATACAGGAATAGGAAAGAGTCGATTAAGCTTGATTGCACAGCTGGTCTGATTTTATTTGCCCCAATCTTTCTTTGAGATCGTTTGATGCTCACACCTTTTAACTTAAACTTCAGTGGAAGGCAATGGAACTCGTCTACGATATTCAGCCAGAGCCCACATTGGATAAATATCTCTATACATTGGATAATGCAACATGCAATTTTTCATGAATACTCCAGTGATTTCCTGCCAAGAGCACGAGCAACAATTAATAATTAAATAACCTTGCCAACAAACCAAGTGTTGTATTTTATTATTTTTTTAGCTATGTTAAACTTCAAAACCCCAATGATCTAAGTTGCAAACACTCGAGTCTCATCTCTCTCATGTCATATACTTATGTTTTACTTTTAAGATTTCAGATATTTATCACTAGATAAGTTTAATTAATTTGTACTTTTTTAGCTTGGCACGTGCATATAAGAGACATTTTCAATATCAAAAGGATTGATATGCACCTGTTGGGGCCAATCACCCTCTTCCAACTGAGAATTGATGAGCAACTTTGCAGCACGATGAAGAGGAGTAGGGTCTCTGTCTGCCTGTATATACGAGTTAAAAAATGAAGAGAGTGTAAGATTTGGTGACAGTTGCAAACAGAAAAAACAAAAAACATTTAATCACACACACTCCTATATAGCAACCTGTCCAGCATGAATCAGTCCCATGAGAGCCCATGCTGTATGTACAACATTTGATCGGGTTCCTTCCAGCGGTACATAAATCTACATGATTTTCAGTAAATAAGCATTGAATGATGATGAAGTTGAAGAATAGTTAGTCAGTAACAAGCATTGAATTGCAAACCTTTTTGGGGCTTGAAAGATAACTCTCCCCCCATCCACCGTCCTCTCTCTGTGTTGTAAGGAGAAATTGGACTGCCTTGCGAATAGCAGCACAGTTGGTGTAAGTCTTGCCAGCTGCTGCTAAACCGCCAAGGGCAAACCAAGAACCATAAGTGAAGCAAACTCCCCAATTTCCGTACCATGAGCCGTCAGCTGTCTGTGTATTTTCAAGGAATCGAACTGCATTGCTAATAAAATTCTCTATCTCTTTCTTCCTATGCCCTGGATACAGCTTCTTGAACAAAATTAACGCTTGAATTGCAGACCCAGTGCACTCAACGTATTCATGTTCTACTACAATGTCCGCAAAAAATTCCGTGGGATTGAGTAACTGAAAATTACCAAAAACTCACTCAGTTTATTAGTCAAGTCATTTTTTTTATCGGTAATGGTTAAATACATATTACATTATTAATTAATTTAATACTTACTTCTAACCAATCCTGTGCTCCTGCAGGCTCCCATGCAGCTAAACCACCCTTTTTACTCTGTAATAAAAGAAAATGTTGCTGGGTCAAATATAATTCTGGTAGTACAAGTAAATCATCAGTGATCAAATAATAACTAAGAGAATAGCCATTGGTTTCAATTAGCTTATTAATTAAAAGCACGTGGTCATGGTACGAAACAGATTTCACCAATCTTGAACAAATGATGTGGTGTTGGATTTAAGAAAAGAGTCCATCATATCAACATTAATCGTCAATTTTTATCCATTTATATATAGACAATTTTTTATGAAATATTTCATAATCATTTCTCTATATTCAATGGTACTTGCCTGAAGCGACAACAGAACATTGACTGAATCATATAACCTTTCTGGTTCCATCTTTTCTCCCACAATCTCTGGTGGCAACATTGATAGAAGTAGACAACACTAAAACATAGGAGAATTTAGCTAAATTAACATAAATTTTGTTGTGACAATTGATAGTTATAGATTAAGTTGTTCGTTATATATCTAAGTTGTTTGTTACCTTCAAGCCTTCCGCTGTGCAATCAGAAACTTGCCATCCATGGTCTTGATCCGAGAACGTCCACGATCCTTTAGAGATATGACGATACATACTCTTAAAATCTCCAAAAGGGTTATCTCTCACCTACGAAATAAGAATATAGATCCATTACTCTAGATAAAGCTAGAAACATATTGTTCAATATAGTCTAACAAACACTAACATAGCATCAAATTATTAATAGATATTTCAATTACAATAATCGTATACGGGTTATAATAATAATCTTATTTAGCTAAGAAAATTAGTTAAAAAATAATAGGTTATTTATTTTATCTCGAGTTTATTATCTAGGATTTTAAATATCTCGATTAGCGAACCATATAATGTGAATAAAACTCCAGGGAAAGGAGAATTGTGATTATAATAAAAATTAAGCAAACCTGAGACTCCTTAATAAAATAATGCCCTTTTGCAAGTGTGGGACCAATTTCATCAACTAGGTTAGTAGCAAGCAAAGCTTGAACGGCAAAACCAGCGTCCCATTCTTGACTACCAAAACTCTGCATTATATAGGCAATTGTATCAATCAATCAATCAAGTAATGAATACTGGTTGATTATGAAAGTGCATGCACACGTGTGTGTACCTGCATGGTCATCCCATCTTCAGACATCCATAAGTAATCTGGCACCCTTGCAAGATGCTTCTTAAAAGCATCTCCATTTGGATCTTCCACCCAACATGCAAGCATGCATAAAACCTGAAAAGTAGATACATGTTGGTGGCATATTTGAATGGATTTCCTTTTGAAGAGAAAAATAAAAAATATTTATTAAATTTGTAAGGTTAAAAAACTCAGTATGCATATTTTTTATGATACTTACCTTTTCCACGCAACCAATGGTAATGTATCGACTAGTCTCATCTTCGTAATGAATATGCTTCATTGTTACTTCAAGAGCTTTTTCTCTAACCAGCTTGTTAAAAGGCCAGCGAGTGAGTAGTGGCTCGGTGAATATGTATAAACTATCCCATATAAGATCTTGTATCAAAGGATGAGGATAATAAAGATCTTCCTGTGATAGATAGAATGGACAATTACCACACTTTCGTACCAAAGAGACCATGTACTATATACACACATATGGTTAAATTGAAGATAATGTTTTTCACCTTTGCGCATTGGTGACGTGCTTTCTTCCAATTAACTTTATCGTAGGGTTGAGTAAATAGCTCTTCTCTCAATTGTAAAATGAGAGGTGTAATTGGACCAACAAACCTCTTTCCATATAAGTAAGACATAGGCATGTACACCAATCGACAGTAACACCACATCTTAGCTACAATAATTAAGGTAAACGTGAGATTTAATGATAAAAAGAAATAAACAATCTATACTCTATGATTTAAATATCTATAATTTTATAAAGAGTAACAAAATAAAATTAACTCTACCGGGATGCATAGGAAGAAACGAAGGAAGGATCCAAAACTCTGGGGGCATTGGGTTACTTCCGCACCAATCAAATACACCAAGTATCTACAAAAGTAATTAAGATCCATTTGTATTAATAAATGCATTCTAGTTTTGTTGGTTTACGTGTATATATTTATGTTAAAAATAATAATACCGAAAGCCAAGTTTTCCCCCACGAAGGTATATGTGTTACACCACCATGATCTTGAATCCACTTTCTTGCTCTAGCACAAGCATTATCATGACCTCCATTGGGTCCTTCTCCAAGAATCCTCATGCATATATAGTTTAGTGCAGTACAAAACATGGTGCTATGACCCTCTATGTGTAGTCCCCATCCTCCATCTTCATTCTTTAAATGGAAGCACGAAATATATTCTATTAATTATCATTGTTGCAAAGAACAAATTACAATCATCATGATTAAGCAAATACACTGAATGATACAAGAATTTTAATACAGAAAAAAATGTTACAATTCTCTCTTTTTCCTTCATCTTGAAATTGAATAAACATGTATACCTGGTGATAATATATGTAGCGGAGAATTTCTTTGCGATGCTCTTCTGGAAATACTGATTCAAGATGCCCCGTAATATACATACAGAACACCTGCCATGTTTTGAACAAGTAAAAATTAATCTTCTTTAATCCGTAAGTTCAATACGTCCATCCAATGCAATATTTCATGATTATGTTAAAAGAGTGAGAACTTGAGAGATTTTTTTAATTTAAAAATGAATAAATAAATAACTTTAAATTATATGATGTAATTTATTAACATATATTATTATATGATTTTAATATAAATAAATTATAACTTTATTAATGTATAAGGAAATTAAATGTCCAATTTAAAATTAGGTTGTCGTGTCAATTTTTTTTTCTCACAACCAGTTTTTTCCATTTTCCCAATCTACTAGTACAGAGGCTGATTCCTCTTGTGATAATGATTATTGCTGCCTTAATAAGTTTTATAGAAATCAAATATGAATATTCAATTACATGAACATATATAAACGTTGTTTATCAAGACCGAGAGATGAAAACACCCCATGATTAAATAATTTAATTTTATATTTTTAGAAAAATCTTTAATTTTTATATTGTAAAATTTTAATTTCAAAATTCATATTTTTTATTAAAGTTGTAGTAAATATATTGTTTTCTAATAAAAAACAAGTGAGTTTCATATAAGTTTAACATATATAATATCATTTTAGTATAATCTTCAAAGAGATAAGTACAAATTATCCCTTTAATAGTAAAAATTAACGTCAAATGTTAACATAAATGATTAAAATGAAATTTTTCATTTCAAAATAATAATAAAAGAAAAACATCTGAAAAAATTGCATTTAAATTGTGCCATAAAATTTTTAAATTAAACAAAAATAAAAAAAATTGACGTTTATTTTTTTAGAAATTCTTTTCATTATGCCAATTAAATTAAAAAAATATCATCTAAATTTATTTATTTATTACTTATCCCAAAATATCATAGGCGTCTTTCATTTCATTTTCTTTTCTCATATGTTAAATAATTTAAATATGTAAAGATTAAACAATAAAAGGAATATGTAAAGATTAAACAATAAAAGGATATAGACATTAATAAAATGCAATATCAAGATTTCGAACCAATATTTCAGAAAAGACAATGATTGCTAAGAGAGTTACTTAAAAAAACAAACATAATAACTCATGTTTCTATTTTGACGTGAGTGAACTAACTACCTTAAATAGGTCTTATTTGTAGCTTAGATGGAAAGAAACAGAATCAAAGTTTTGGATGTAATTCAAATTCATAAACTTGCCTGTGAAATTAAGAATGACCGTATGTATATCTATCTTTCTATGTAATACGATTCGTTTGAATTATTTTTTAATCCAAAACTTTTTAGTGACTGAATCCACGTAACGGGATATTTAAAGTGATCTTATATCCTTTATTTTCGTTTTTTATAATTTTCACTGTTGCTCAGTTTTATAAATGAATTTGTGTTGTTATTAATAATTTTATTTTATATATTAACTATTTCATTATAGTAATATTTTTGAAGTTAAATTAGAAAAGTAAGTAGACTTGAATTTTATTTATTTTTTATATAATTTTTTTAAAAATTGAATTAGATTTATAATATATTTGTATTTCTTTTTAGCGTAAATAGGTGAGCATGAATGGAACATTGTCATGCATGAACATCAATAATAATAAAAAATATATATAACAAGTATAATATGATAAAAAAATTTATTACGATGGGTTTAAAATCATGGATTGTATATTTATTGAGTTTGAGTGATTGATTTATTGTCTTAGTACTTGAGTCGGTTGTCATCAAAACCTCTCAGTGGTGTCTGCGTCTGAGTCCGTTGTCGTTAAATAACAGAGAAAGGGAGTAATCGTCTTTCCAAATGAGAATATGCGATTGCGTTTGAAATTACATAAAATGAAAATTGAAGTATTTGTATGAAAATTAGAAAGAAAAACAGTAAGAGATTTAGTAAGTTGGATAAAGAAATGTATATATTTGGTAATTGGAAATTATATGGAGTGCTTACCAAAGGAGGAAGAAAAAACAGAGGACCTGCAATTTGTGCAGGCCAATGGCCATCACTTGTCTGCAGTGCCGATAGATGATGCGCGCCTCTTCTCACGGCGGCTGTCACTTTCTCGTATGTTATCTCCTCTCCGTCTTCTATCTTCACGCTTGCTATTCTCTGTTTGAACTGGTTCTCTCTCAGAACCTACAAGTAGCATTGTATTTGGAGGTGATGAATCTAGGAAATTGAAGAGAAATTGGTGAGAAATTGGAAGTAGAAGAAAATAGAGAAAACCTGAAAGCGCCATAGGAGGTCAGCGCAGGGCTTGATCTCGAAGCGGTTGAGGTAGAAATTGTTACGAGCTTCTTCAACCTGCGCGTGTTCCTCGGGAGTTCCTGCGTCGGGATCATACTCCCATATCTGCCTTCCCACGAAATTGTTTGTGCTGAATATGTACGGATCATTCCCTCCATCTCCTACCTTCAGCCTCCACATCCCGATATCGATTTCAATCTCCCTCTCTTCCTTCTCTTCTCGGCAACTCAATTCAATCCTCTGCACAACTCCTTCTGTTCCCCATCCAAACCCGACTCATTCTCTTTCCTCTTACTCCTCCCCCCTTTATTTATACTAAATCATCAATATTCATTTTCTGTTACTTGCTTATTCACTTTTCACTAATTAATTAAATAATGCACCGCAAAAAAACTGTGCATTGAAGCGCCCTGCTAATTCTATAGGTCCACGCCTCTTCATGGAATAAGACAATTCAAGCTATAAATATTTGTATCTTTCATAAAATAAACAAATATTGGTAATATATTATAAATTAGTTTAAACATTTTCTATTTCAATAATTTTTTTTTCATTATACGCGTGTTATAAAAAGGAAGATCAGTTTAAATTAACATAGAAATAGATAATTGATTTTTAGATAGATGCCATTCCTTTTCCTTAATTGCAACTAACACCTAGAAAATTGGTTTTCAGATAGGTGTCATTTTTTTCCCTTTATTGCAATTAACTCCCACACCCGTACGATAAACATTTAATAATACAAAACGTTTGTTGTCTTTCCTTATTCATAGTCCCTCGTTTTGTTGTATTGATTTAATAATAATTATGCAAACATTTATAATGGCAAAATCAAGTGTTCTTCTACAAGTTTTCGTACCGTTTTCACAACACAGCATGTCAATATGAAGTTTAATTGACGTAAAATTATTTTTCTTAGAAATTGGGTGTTGTAAATAAACAGGTAAATGTGTTAAATACCTAAAAAAATAACTCGCAATTGCTTTGGAGAAAAGAATGTATAGTTTATTGTAGTAAAAAAAACTACAAATAAAATGAATTAATAAATGGAATGCAATTCCGCGGAACTAATTTGATTATTATATTTGCAGCGAGGATAGCGTGGAAAGATGGGAGGGGTGTTTTATCTGAGAAAAAAAATGGAACACGAGGATGGCGCGGTCAATGAGGGAGGAGGGTTTTGAAATAAGAAAGAGAGATTAATAATGAAGAGGCTGAGCAGTGACATTTTTTATTGCTTTGGATCTTTAATGAACATCTTTGAGTAGGTCAACACACACCACTACAACTCATACCATGTTTTTTATATAACATTTTTTTTTTTACTTTTTTTATACCAGTTATTGTACCAACATACCATTTTTAAACCATAGTTGATAATTTGTTTACACAAGAAAGTAATAATATGTATTAATTATACTCAAAGATATTCTAGTAGATTATGGAAAAAAAATATGTATTAATTATACTTGAAGATCCACTCTTAATTAATGTAAAACTTTTGAACCAGTAGAACAAGTTCTTAATAAAAAATTGAATTTTTTTCCTTAATGTTCAAATATCAAGTCTATATAATTAAGATATGACAGGGTCAATAATTATATTCAAATCTGTTTTGGTGATTGATATCTTTGTTCTAATTTTATGTTTGATGACACCTATATAAGTTAAGAGACAATAATTCGAAAGGAGTTTTTGTCTTTAAAAAAAATAAAAGTGAATTAAAATTCTCAAATTTTTTTCATACAATATTAAATTTTTTTGTTATCTTTAAATTTATTAAAATATTCTTTTATTATAATATTGTATATCTACTTTAGATTTTAATATTTTTATAATATCTTTTCCATAAGAATGAATTGAGGGTAATATATATATATATATATATATATATATATATATATATATATATAAAGAGAAATAAAAAAATATAATAATAATGTTTTAATTTTTATTTTGTTCGAGAATAATAGAATTATTACTTTATTTATATCAGTTTATCCTGTTTAGGAAGCAAATTTAATAATAGAATATAATATTGATTATTAATTAATCAATATAATATAAGATACAATGATAATTTTATAAATATTAAAAAATATACTATATCAATTATATATATATCACATATTGTAATCATAATCTGTCTTTCCTATTTTGGGTTGAATTTAATGTAATTTAATCGTATATTGATTATATGTATCATATCAATTATTATCGTAACCAATGTCTAATGTAATTGATATGATGGATGAATTTTCAACATAAAATAACATGTATTAAAGGCATTATTTTTATGAATGATAGTTTTATTATATTAATATATTTTTATTACTTATATATTTTAGTTGTATTATTGTTATTATAATATTATTATTAATATTTTATAAAATAATAATTATTGTTTTGAAAATTGGATCACTGGTCTATTGAACTGCAAATCATACTAGAAATTAATGTTAAATATAAATAATCGAATTTTAATTAAATCAGCACAACATAAAAAAAAATTAAGACAACACTGATAAGTTCGAAAAATTCGATTGAGTTGTTAATTGATAAAAAAAAAGTTAAAGATCAATTTAAAAAAAAAAAATATATATATATATATATATATTATAAAAGATAATATATTTTAATTTTTTTTATATTATATTAATTATGAGAAGTTTAAATAATAATTATTTTATTATATTTTTATCTTATTTTAGTAATTATTTATTTTTATTTTTTAATATATTTTATATTTATAATTTTCATTATGATTTACACTGTAATTTTTATTTTTTTTATAAAAAATATTATTTTATTAAATTCAATATAATTAAACTTTAAATCTAAATTCATGTGATTACTGTCGAATTTAAAAAACATTGGAAATAACAACAAAAGAATTAAAAAAATTTGGATTATGCAGGAAAAAAAAGGAAAAGAACTCGAAAAACCTAATTTATAGTGACAATTGACTAAGTTATAATTGATAAACCTAATTAACTAGCTTAAAAATTGTTAATAGATGTGAAGTTAATTTATTAAATTATAAAAATTCCATAAATTTATTTATTAGAATAATTGATAAATATAAAATTATATAAATAAATATGTTTATACGATGTTCTTAATAAATTTTAATTTTATTTAATTGATAGTATAGATGTAGAGTATAATTTTAATTGAACTAATTTTAAAATTTTGAATTTTTTATTTATAAAGAAATTATTTAAATTATATTTTTATTTTTAATTGATATATTCATTTATATTGTGCATTCAACTAATTATCGTATATATGAATGATAGATAAATATTAAGTTGATCGAGAATAAGGATGAGTTTGAATTTTTCTTATTTTAAAAAGTCGAGAACAGGAATACTAATTAGTAATGCAATTATCGTGTCGGTTGTGTTTTTGACCTAATTTTATATTTAAATTAAAATATTTATATTTTAAAAATATTTTCCCTTTTCTTTCTCTATTATATATGTAAGATTAGTTTTTTTTATATATTTTTACTTTTCTTCTACCCATTTTTTTATTATTTTATTTATACATAAATTTTAATAATAATTAATATTATTTTATTTTTAATTTATCTTTATTAAGTTTTATTATATCATTTTTTGATCTTATTAATCTTATTTATTATATATCAAATTTTATCTTAATAAAATTATTATATTTTAAAGAATTGAAAAAAATTGATAATTAAACTTTTATTACTTTAAATTAATTAAATAATAATTAACTTATTAAATATTTTATATATACTATATATTTCATATTTTTAAATATTTTTAAATAAAAACTTAAAAATATAATTAACTTTATATACATATATATAAAATTAAATATTTAAATACAGTATAATAATAAATAATAATCATAAATAATAAAATAAAAAAATAATAATAATAAATAATAATTATATTATTATTATAAATAATCTATATAGGAAAAATGATTAAATGTTTTTTTATATACATATTTTAATATAAATATTATAAATTAAATTATATATTTAATTAATAATAATTATAAATTATAAAATTATAAAAATTTATTTATGTATAAAAAGTATTAAATTAATTTATTATAAGAATAATTAAGTTTTTAGAAATAGTGTATGAGACGGAGTAAGAAAGTTTAAAATCTAACCAAAACGGAAATGAATATTTTATTTCTAATTTAATAAGGATAAAGAAGGGAAGATGGTTGAAGAGATAAAATATATCCTACTCTTTGCAATTACTAATAGATTATATTTAAAATTATTTTTAATCAAATTAAAATGAAATAAAAGTACTAAAATTTTAAGTAGATATTAAAGTTTTAATATGTTAATTAATATAATAGTTAGAAAACAAGTGTGAATTTTACTTACTAAAACACTATTAAAATTATTAGTAATGTTAAAAAAAGTCGAATAGTAAAAAAAATGATAAAAACTAACCTGATTGATATTTAGAATAGTTCCAAAATATCAGTTTATTTTATTTTATTATTATTTTAAATAGATAGTTGATTGAGATTAGAAAGAAAGATATGTACGGCAAGGAAGGAGAACAAGGTGTAAGGGTTTGATCGTGAGGCAAGAGAGATTTGGTATTTCTTTGTCTTAGTAGTTAATAGTTTTTTTTTAATTTTTAAGATAATTAATAATAAGAAAATTTTCAATAATTAAATACAAAATAATTATATATAAGAGAATATAATATTATATTTAATTCAAAATTTAAAATATTTTTTATTTATAAGTCACCTTAATACATTATCCCCTCAAATATAAATAATTTTTAATAATAAGTATCTTTTAATTTCTTTTTCTGTCATTAAAGTTAATGGGATTTACTTTCCTAAAATATTTTCAAGTAAAATCTAAGATATTAAATTATTATAAGTTTTTTCACTTATAAATTATTTAACTTTTAAACTTAAACTTAAATTCTCAGTTTCTTGACTTTCGTGTGGTGGAAGTAGATAAGATGCGATCAAGATGTTTGGGTAAGTATAGAATACTTCTTTTTAGCATTTCTTACATGAAATGACAAAGTCGGTTTGGTGGAGAGTGTTGCCTGAGACGATGGAGAAAAAGGAAGGTAATGGTGATGAAAGGTGACTTAAAAGAAGAGTAAAGAGTGAAACTTTTAGCTTAGATTTTTAGAAAAAAAAAAAAAAAACCT